AACAACCATATTCAAAAATAAACATACTAAGATCTTGAACTCAAGAAAATCTTCTACTACCCTAGTAAAAAAGATACAAACCAAAGATGCAAAGAATAAATAAGATTACTTAAAAAAAAATTTAGAGCTCAATAAAAAGAAAATGGTTAAGTACGTTGTTAATCTTTATACTTTCATGTGAAATTGAAAATAGTCTATTTATCATAATTCACATAAAAATGATCCACGTACTTTTGAAATAGATTCATATTTTAAACGGCATTAAGTATATGTCGACTTGTCTAATAGAAATAGTATGACTCATTCATTATTTGACACGTATAATTATTTAAAAAAATAAAATTAAAAGGTGTCAAACATTTAAAAGTCATTTAAATTCGCATTTATAACATTTAAAAGTCATTTAAAAAGAAATTTAAAATTTTTTGTCATTTATAAGTCATTTATAAATTTCGAAAATGACTACCACCGTCGCACACTTCTATTGTGTACCATCGTCATATTGTCATCGAACCACAACAAACCGATGAAACCCTCAAACTTCAAAGTCACTTTGACTTCATACAACCTTTACAGAGAAAGAAGAAGAAAGAAAAAACTTTTGGTGTGTGACGAGAAAAGAAGAGAGAATAAAAAGTAGTTGTGACGAGAAAGAAGAGAGAATGAAAAGTGGTTGTGACGAGAACTGAAAAGCTTGGTACATGAGGAGAAAAGAAAAACTTCTACTTTTTAATTTTGTTTTTTTTTAAATAATAATCTCTGTTGAATAATTTTCTATTTTTTTAAAGTAGAGTTTTGCTTTTTTTTAAATAATTGCACATGTCAAATAATTAATGGGTCATACTATTTCTATTAGACAAATCACCATATATTTAACGTCGTTTAAAATAAAGACTTATTCCAATCATTTAAAAAGTATAGGGATCATTTTTATGTGAACTTTAACAGAGGTACTATTTCCAATTTCACATAAAAATACAGGACTAAAAATATACTTAATCCAAAAAAATGTTCATAATGTCATTAGCTCAATTTTTAATCTTGATGCTAATGATTATATAAAACAATTATGTGAAATGTTTTTTCCACATGTATAACTTAAATGTTTGAAATAATTTAGAACTTTTTATAAATTAATGTCAAAATATATCCTAAGATAGTTTACCTACATAACTCAATTAGTTTTAATGAGTTAAATTTTGTTTTAATTTATTAAAGTAAAGTTTGACGTCTTTTAACATAATTTTAAACTATTAAAGCAAAGTCAATTTTTAATATTCAAAGGTTTAATGAAATGAATGGATTAAAACTTGGTTTAATAAATTAAAATATTATTTCTTATAAAAGAATTAACGTATTAAAAAAATTATAATTTATTAAAACAATATTACTATTTTTAACTTTGACTAAAACACTTTAAAATAAAATTTCTACTTAACGTATGCATAGAAAACTTATTTCGAATACTTTTAATATTTACATTATAACTCAACTCCACGATGAAACACAATATCAACAACATCATCATCATTTCTTATATTATCATTGTAATGTGATCCAGAACATCAAATTTTAAAACTTCACATTTACTTTCTTGCCCCAAACTTCTATATTAATAATATGTACATAAATTTATAATATTAATAAATTAATTAATAATTATGATTGGATTTATTTTATTTATATACGTTGTTTGAAAGTAATATAAAAATATATATCTTTCAAATATAAATTTATTTTTTTATAATTCATAATAATATATTTAAAATAATAATAATAAAACCTATAAATTAAGGAACAAATTTTAAAATATAAAAACATATAATGAAATGTGAAACAATTGATTAAAAATTTTAAAATTTTCAGAACTAATTTTTTTATGAAATAATAAAAATTAAGAAGTTGGTGTTCAATATCTTTCTTTAACAAACTTAGAAAAATTGTATATATTCTTACTTGCAATGGTAACAGCTTTGAATATCTTGGTGGCAACCTACAAACTTGATTCCATAATCAATGTTTTATAATAAAATGGTAATCAGCATGGGAGGCAAGAATCAATGCCCACATTTTCTATATGTAAACCCTTTTCACGATTAAGTTTTTATTTCTGAAAAAAAGAAAATCTTGTTTTTATATACTATATATTATTAAACTTGAATCACAGATCAAGCAAAGAACATTAACCTTTGCATCGGAATCCCTTAGATTAGATGTCTTGATTTGAGTTTCGTGCAAGAAATACTCAAAGTTTCATTTGAAAGGAATAATTCTACAGAGACTCACTGCAATATATTTGCTTCTTGAGTCAAACATTTCTTGTTCTGAGTTCTGTACAGAGGCATTCAACACTACACAATGATTTATTTTATGGGAGATCTCAGGTTAATTAAAAATATTATTTTTATTTATAAACTTTTTTTTCAACATGTTGTGAGGATATGACTCTTGCAAATGATCTTCAACCTGACCCCATTAGTCTTCATGGGATATGAATTGATCAAGCAAGAATAAAAAAGTTCAAGGTTGTGCTGTGGAATTTTTAGTTCTTAGCTCTTCGTGTGTTTAATCTTCTTTAGCTCCAAGAGTTTTGGAATGACCTAATGTAATGCAAAACTCTTATCATTATTGTAATTTTAACATGTTTTGATTTTATACTTTCATTGATCTTTGAGTTACCAAGCTTCTATTTAAATAAATTTATCCATAAGAATTTCTAAGACGAACTATAAATTAAAATCAACTTAAAAAAAATAAAAAATCTCATATTTACTTTTAAAGAATCTAAATTTTACTACTAATTTTAGTTTATGAAATACAAATCAGTGGTATCTTTGAAACATCCATTAAAGTAATATAAATTTGTTATTGTTATTTGTTACGTCATAAAATTATAGGGCTATGTCCATTTATATATTTGGGCTTTAACTATACAACAATATGGGCCAAGTCCACCAGATTGGATCAATCAGTGTAAGGCCATTTTTTTATTGTATTTTCATCATCTCTTCTGAACACTATTTGTTATACATTCGAAAAAAACCGAAATATGTAATTTGAAATTAACTTTTAACTATTTTGAATTAATTATGTTCATTTTTATTTATAAAAAATTGTTTTTTAAAATAAAATATTATAATATTTTTTAAGTTGCATATTTTGTATGTGTATTGAATATTTTAATTAATTGTTTTACATAATTTTGTCTTATTTTTATTTTCCTCAAAATACATTATAACTATTCTAACAAACTGATTTCTCCTTCTACTCTTTCTTTCATATTTCTAACAAAATCAAAATAATTATTATTTTAAGTTTAAGATAAAATAGGAAAAATAATTTGTATAACAATAATATAATTAAAAATTCTTCTTTATATATTAACCATATAGACGCCGAACTTACTTCATTCTATTTTAAAAAACTATAAACATTTATAGAAAATCTGAAGAAAGATGCGTAATGACAATATTCTGTTACTTTAATTTAAAGATCTTATGTAATTGATAAACAAAAATTGAAATTGGTTTTACTGAAAAGAAACGAGAAAATTGTAAAGTTTGAAAAAACCAAATTTTGTATCTAAAAGTTAATCAAACTAAAGTAGAAAAGTTGCTTAAAACATGAACTTAAAGAACAAACTTATTATAGAAATGATGGTTGAACAACATGAAAATAAAAATAAATAAATAAATAATAACAACATAAAACTTGAATGTAATCCTATGTAACTTCGAAAAGATAATTTAAGGAAGGTAGATGAAAAAGAAAATTATATATATTTTTATTTATTTTAAACAACTAATATTTTATTCAAGTATTTCCTTAAATATTTTTTATTAAAAAAATTTAAATTAAATTTAAAAAAATCAAGATTGTAATTAATTAAAGGGAAAGAAACAGATATCCACATATATACTATGCGGTGGCCTGTATTTATTGTTGAGATTGCGTAGTTGGTAGTTGGCATTGCACCTACTTTTTTCAGTTTTACGACCTTTCAAGTAATGGTGTCAGAGAAAATTAAAATAAAAAATAGCCTCACAATTAATTCAAGGAAAATGACTCTCTGGCATTTCCTACAAAACTTTTATTTTTATGTGCACCACTCACTCACCATTTTTGTTGTTACAGTTCAAAATGAAAATGGAACAAATCTCATCTGACACCTCCCTCTTTTAAGGTTTAAAAATAATTATATTTAAAAATATATTGAAAATTATTGTTTTGTGAATTAATAATGTTTTAAGAAAAAATTTATTTAGTGTGGTGTGTAATTGAAATGTGTCAGTACTAGGTGCATACCCTACCTTTACTATTTACAAACACCCCAACAACCGATGCATATCCAATGCAATGGAGATTCTTTCAATCACTTGGTTTATGGCTTTAAGCTAATAAATATTTGATGCATCATATCTTTTATTGAACAATTACGTAAAGTTCTGTGTTAGATAATTATCATGTTAAAATTCACAATCAGAATAAATTTATCAACTCATTTTATATGTCCTACGTGAAAGGTTTCAAACCGCGTGCTTTCCTTATGAAATGAAAACAATGTTTAAAGCAACTTATAGTATTTTATCGTTAATAAAGATAAATTCACGTATTTACATAATAAATTTGTTTGGTACTCCTCTAAGATTTTATGGGAATTTATCTTAAATGATATTATTATTATTATGGGTATAAATAAAATGGTGACAGATAAAAGTTTTAAAACGGTGAATGGATAATTAAAAATTAATGTATATATATTTAAAAATGACAAGTTATTACAAAAAATGATATGAATATCTATTTTAAAATTAGTACAATTCTCCTAATTATGATACAATAATTTATGTGATTTGATATTCACCATTATTTCATGTCTTTTTTTTTTTTTTAATTAGGACCACAAGTACACTTAGTAAAATATCTCTTTAATTATCTTGCTGTTATGCAAAACATGAACATTTGAACATGTTACATGTGGTGTAATATCTTAAAATCAGGGTTTGGAGTTTCTGAGAAAGGGTGTATCTTATTATGATAGGGAGTATCTTGTGACAGAAATAGGAGGGGTCTATGTCTCATGAAAGCTTTAAGCAAGCATCAGGTGATGGGGTTGGGTTTATTGGTCCATGGCATTGCAATTGTGTGAATTTTGGCATGTAGTTGATGTCTTTTTAGAATAAAGGAGGAGTGTTTGATTTGATGAGTGACTTGTATATCCTTGCTTGCATTGGACCAGTGGTGTTAATAGGAGTGAAGGAGAGTAAATCTTAACACAAGGCATGCCATGGAGCAGTTTTGATAGATAACATAACAAAACAAAAGGGTGGAAATGAAAGACACCTCACCAAACACATCTAACATTACTACCAACCTTTCTATCTCATTATGCATGTTTTCATCTTCCTCCCTGTTTCTTCTTCACCACCATACTCTTCCTGCCTATTTCTTCTAATTTTTATTTTTAAATATGGTTTAGGATTAAAATCATAAAATTATTTTCAAATTTTAATTTAAAATCAATTAATATTAAGTGAAATGACATAAGTCTTATTCAAACAAGATTGACTACGTTTTTTTTTAGATTATAAAAAATTAAGATAAATTATGTGTGGTTAGTTCATCTCAGTTTATATATATATATATATATATATATATATATATATATATATATATATATATATATATATATATATAAAATTGAGATGAACATATATAATTTATCTTATTTTTTATAATCTTAATAAAAAATTCAATATATATATATATATATATATATATTTATTTATTGTGAATTACTTTATTTTATATTAATTGATTTTAAGTTAAAAATAGACTTGTTATCATAATTTATTAGTTTCTAACAAGTTTAGTAAAGAAAATATTGGAAGAATTCTACATATTTATCTCAATTATTAGAGTAAGATTTATATATTTATTGAATGTTTTTATAAAGTTAATTTAGTAATTAGTTTAAATTATTTTATTTAAATTAGTATTATTTTATTATAACATGTTCCTTCAAAATATAAAAAAAAATCAAATAAAAAACATATAATCTTATCTTACTAAAAAAAACAATATATAAAATTATATATTTTATTTTTATTTATATATACAAATAAAAATATTTTAAAAATATGCATTATGCAAAATTATTGTCTATATATAATTAATAAATATATAAATAATTTGTATTTACCTAATTATTAAATTTTAATTAATTTATTTATTAATTTTCTAAATAATAATTTTATTACTTTCATGTAATTTTTTTAACAATAACTAAATATTATCTTTATTATTTTATTCCTTCCATTTCATTTCTCTAATGCTAATTAAATCACGTTAACTCCTCTCAATTTTTTTTAATTTTTTTATAGATAGGTAAACTACATTTTATTTAAGGTTGAAATTACTTCAATGCATAATAAATATATACATAATTTGTATTTACGTAATTATTAAATTTTAATTACTTTATTTATTATTTTTAAATAGTAATCTTATTATTTTCATATAATTTTATAAAAATAAATAAATATTATTTTTATTCTTTTATTCTTTCCCTTTGATTTCTTTAATACTAATTAAATCACGTTAACTCTTTTCAAACTTTTTATTTTTTATAGATAAGTAAACTACATCTTACTTAATTACTCCAATGCATAATAAATCTGAAACCAAATTTCATTTTTGAACGTTTAATTAAACATATAAAAAATTATAAAAAATATTGTAATTATCATTATTACTGATGTTTATTTATATATCTAATTTATTTAGTTAACCACATTAAAAATGCACAGAATTATCATTACTATATTGATGGTGTCATCCTTCAATTTATATTTGGTTTGTCTTAAATTTAAGACATTTAATTGTCAAATAAAATCACTTTTAGCAATAATTAGGAATCATCGGAGATAAAAATATAAAAATTTTGTTATTATATACATTTGTTTAATTTACTCCTTTCTCGTAATAATATATTAAAGAAAATGTATTGTTTGATTATTAGGAATAACTAAACGACATAGTAATTTATTTAAAAGCTTGTTGCTAAGTCTAACCAAATGATAATGCAACCAATGCATTATCGCAAAAGACATTTGTAATTTTTTAATTATTAAAATTAAAATGCTTTGTTAAATCATTATTGAATATATTTGACAAATAACTCTCAAACCAAATTTGTTAATAATGCATATATAACTCTAATAAAAAAATATTTATATATTGTCATTAAATTTTTGTCATAACATCACAACTTAACTAAAAAAGAATAATACATTTTTTTCATAATTATTAATGATTTGTCCCAAAATTTATTCACACGAATATAAGTTCGCATATTGAAATATAAAATAACCTCATAATTTAAATCTTACAAGCTGAATTTTCGTTCTTCATAAAATATTATAGTTAGAACAAATATATTATAACTTTTATTTGATAAACAATGTTAACGTATATTCGTAAGCTTTATTAAGAAAAAAATTATACATACATATTATTTTAAATATACATCAAATTAACATTAATACAAATATTAATTTTTTAACATAATAAAATAAAATTGAATAACGTTATAATCAAAATGCAGTCACCACTAGTAATGATAAAATAAAAACACACAAATATATGATAACAACTCTATTTCCACTAATAATGATAATTATATTAGTACATATGATTCACGCAGATATAAATGAATATTTCTTTTTAATTATTTTTAGTTTTTTTTTCGGTGATTATATATATGTATATATATTAAATTTAATTTAACTTTTAATAACTGAAAGAAGATAAAAATATTATATATATAGATTAAATAGGATTTGTGAGTTTTTCTAGTTGAGTAAATATGATTGAATGACATAAAAAAGAGATATTAAGCCTAATTATATAGAAATATGATATTATAATGGTTTGAAATCTGTAAAATATTTTATCTTTGTTTATTAGGTATATAACTAAACTTTTAGAAATAGTTCTTTATATTGGTATTTGAATATCTCTTAAGATAATATTTTTTCTCTAAATATCTCACCAGTTATAATATTAAATTGAATTAGGTATAATATATATATATATATATATATATATATATTATTTAAGTTAATATGATAGTCAATTTTAAAGTAAAAAAAATAAGAAATTTATATTAAATAATTATAGACGGAATGAATTAAAAAATTTAGACAATTGATAAAATATTTAAAATAAATCTAAATCAATTATTTTTATAAATAAAATAAAACTACTTGAATGTTTTAAAAGTAAAGTCATATATTTATACTTATAATAGAAAAACTTTTTAATTATTCTCACTCTGTCCGTCCTATCTCTCATATTTATTCGGGTTAGAAAATAAATTTTCGTTATTTTGTAGGTTTTGGGTTTGGGTTTGGGTTTTCTTATATCTTAATCCATTATTTTTTTTCATACTGTTTATAAAAAAGTCATTATACATAAACTGTAAAAATATTTTTTTAATATTATTATTTTATATATTTTCTCTCATACATATATAAATATTTATAATTTTATAAAATTTAAATTATTAATATTAATTGAATATATATTTTTATTTATTACATTTATATTAGAAAAGTATATGTACTAAACAAAATTTGATATTTTTTTTTCTTTTATTTATGAAAATATTATTATTATATATTATAATATTACAATATTATAATATTATACTTGAATATTCAATTATATATAAGTTAGTTGTTTAAAATATTAATAAATACAAACTATATAACTTATAAAAAAATGTTTGATAAGATAAATCTTATTGTCAAATAATACAAAATTCAGCTATAAATTTATCATTCATTTTTTAAAATATAACTATTTAATTAATGTAGCAATGAATATATTATAAAAAAACAAAACTTATAAAATATATTATAAAAAAATTAATACAAATAAATTAATATTATTAAGATTAATATTTAATGAAAAATATGAGACAAAGAATAAATTAAATTACATTTTGTGTAACGTGAGAAATATAAATATTTAAGAAAGTATTAATATTTTTTTAATTTTGATTTAACAATATTATTATTGTATTATTTTTAATCAAATATTTGTAATTTTTTATAAATATAAAAGAATAAAATTATATTATTTTAAAATATCTCACAATATATAGTTTATTTTTAAAATTTCATTGTAAACTTTTTTTTTTTGTATTTTTTAATTTTATAAAAAAAAGTATAAAACATTAATTTGTTAGTTTTACATAAAGGATTAAGGGGTATGTATTACTAGAGATAGACTTTAAGTTCAGGTTTACAGTGTCAATATTTTCAGTCTAAAAATAAGAGTGTTCTAGTATCATGTTTATTATAATAATATTGTTAGAGGTCAATTATCACCTTTGAGATGTTATCTTTTGAAATTGTAAAGATAAAAGATATGTAAGTGTGGTAAAGAAGTTATTGTATATAAATTATGTTGATCTCACCTCTAATTTACTTGAGACTTATAAGTATACTAAAACAAAATTTAATTTTTATATTTGACTCAAATAATTAAAAAAAAAATTAAACTACGTGAAATACACTTATAATTTCTAAAACTTAATAGAGTTTGAATTTGACTTTGGGAGTCACGATTGATCATAACAAAAAAAAAAAGAGAGTTGAAGATATGGTTAATTTTAGATTGAAAATAAAAAGTTAAATAAATTTATTTATTATGTTAATAATATTTTTTTTATTTTTAATAATTTTTTAATTATATATTACTGTAATATTAATAAATAAAAGTAACACGATAATAAAAATAATTTGAGATATAATTGATTGTCTCCGAAATCCACCTCTTTCTTTGTAAATATTCGCATGGTCTCACGTAAATAAAAGCTGGTTTATCTTTCATGTTTTCTCAAATGCACTAAATTATCGTATTTCTTGGCTACTCAAATTTTCGTGGTCTACATATTTATTTATTCTCCTCTTATTATTTTCATATTTGTTTCAATATCAAAATATAATTAATAAATCATTAACAAGTAATCTATTAATAATAACCGCACTATAAAAACCTATTAAATATTAATTTAGAAAAAACGTTTAACTATTGCATTTAACTAAATTAAAACTTATTTAATTAAATTAATTTATAAATCTGAATTTAAACTAATTATCAATATATTCATTATTTATTAAAAATTAGACTCTAAATTAATAATTTAATTTCTATGAACAAATTCTCTTATAATAAATTATTACTCCATAAATTTAAAATAATCACACACACACACACACATATATATATATATATATATATATATATATATATATATATATATATATATATATATATATATATATATATATATATATATAACGTTTGATCTATTTTAGTGTTAAAATGAAATTTTATAACATTGAAAAAAAAAACTATCTATTTAGTTTTTGATGACTAAATTTTAAGTTACTCCCTAAATATTAATAAAATATTGAAATTATTTTTCTTATTAACATTTATCTTTTGTTTCAAATAAATTCATGCAATTTATTATAAAAGTACAATACACTAAATTATATGATAACATAAGGGTTAGTATTTTTAAAAAAAGTATAAAATATTTATCTTAAAATCATAACACATTGACCATTTTTATTTATTTAAATAAATATTGATTAATATAACTAATAAATATTAATCTTTTATGAATATATAATTAATAATTTAATCTCCAAATTTGAATATAAAAGCTATACATTGAAAGGAGTCAACACTACAAATAAATAAAACTATTTTTAGAAATTAAGTATTGACTTTTGACCAAATGATGATGAGTTAACTTTTTATTTGATTCATTGCATTTTGTTTTAAAATGGTTTACAATTAAAGTTTTAATTAATTATATTTAAAAAGTGTTACTTTAAAATATTACTTTACACTCCTTCCTTCCAGTGCAAAGAACTTCCCCCTCTTTTTCAAAATAGCATATATACACGAAACGACGGCGTTGGATTGGGTTCTGCCTGATGCGGTTTAAAAAACAAAAACTTATAGTTCAATTCAAGATTGTGCGAGGAAGCATTTCGTCATTTGCGCGGAAAAGGGGGCAGATTGCCACGTGTCACGGGAAGGTAAGAACCGCTTAAAAATAAAATTCATTTATTTGTTTAATTTTAATTTTTTATGTTACGTTGCGGCAGTTTCCATGCAGACGTGTCAACATTTATTAATTCTAAATCGCCGCTCTTTCTTCATCTTCTCTTCCTTTTCTCTCTCTGTGCTTCCATTTTCGTTGTCATTATTCTCTTTCTGAAATTCTTTCTTTTCGCTGTTAGGGTTTCGTTTCCTTTACTTCAAAATCGAAAGCTCTGCTTCACCGGTACGTTCTCTTTTACGCTTCAACGTTACAGTTAAATCACAATCGCTTAAAGATGCCTCTTGTTTTCCGTGTCTCGTTGCTGAATCCTCTGGATTCAGTTTTATTTCGTTCTGTTATTTTGGTTTCCTGGTCGGAATTTGCGTGTCTCGCAATGCGGATTTAATTTCCGTTTGGAAATAATTTTAGTTTTATTTCTTCTGTAGCGCTTTTATGTTTCTGTCCGAAATGGTGATAATTGAATTTTCGAATTTCCTTTTCCGGAGTCGAAATGACGAACTCCGGCGCCGTGCGCCGAATGAGTTTTTATTGCCGAGGTTCGCTGAGATTGCGGAATCTGAGAAATTTTAGCGTACCTATTTATTTATTTCATAAGGCCTGTTTCTGTCTTATGTGTGTCTGTGTGTGTGTATATATATATATATATATATATATATATATATATATATATATATATATATATATATATATATATATATATATATATATATATATATATATATATATATATGTATGTATGTAGATGTATGTATTTATGTATGTATATACATACGTATGTATATGTGATTCTGTGTATCATTTTCGTGCCGTCGTTACAAATTTCGATTTCTGAGTTTTAAACAGGTAACATAAATTGATTTTTTTTTTTTTTTTGTGCAGGATAAAGTGTAGCTAGTGTGATACCTTGAATTGGGAAATTCTGAAGCTTAGATTTTGTTTCCTTGATGGGCCTCATGCTGGTGATGTTATTGGCAAGGAGAGCAATGGTGTTGACTAATGTGATGGTTGAATCCATGAAAATATAAAAAGATCCGTGTCTTGAATGAATTTGTGTTTTTGGTTCAATATTGGCGGATGCTAATTTTAGTGAGTTTGAAATGGGTTGAAGAGATCCGTATGCTTGCTAGAAAAGTAAAGTAGAAATGGCTGTTGCTGGTCTACGCAGTGTGTCTGTGCTCGACTCTCCTTTCCTCAGGGACTCCCATACCCAGTCGTCTAGGAGAGGGGGTGAGGGGAGACAAGGAAGCACCCGGTCATCTCCACTCTTGCAAATGTGGCGAGAGATTGAAGATGAACATGTGGTGAATCAAGTTCAAGGAAGACCCGGTGAAGTACCTCTTGAGCAAAGGAGGGATGAATTGAGTGGGGAGCTTTCACAGGAAGATAGACCTGATATCCGAGAGCGAGGGCATATACATGTTTTAGAAGATGCAGTTTTAGGTGAGAATGAATCTGAAACATGGTCACAGTCGCAAAGTCAGAATGAATCCCATGATGATCACGAGGATTTAAATAATTCTAGCTGTGAAAATTCTAGTGATTTGGGAGAAGTTGAAAGGGAAAGAGTGAGGCAAATTTTCAGGGAGTGGATGAACAGTGGTGCCAGGGATCATGTATCAAATGTATCCAGAAGAAATAATGGTTCAAGGAGAGAATGGCTTGGGGAAACTGAACAGGAAAGGGTCAGAATTATTAGGGAGTGGGTACAAATGAGTAGCCAGCAGAGAAGTGTTTTGTCTGGGGAAAACAGGGAAGTACAATCTACTGAAATTGGTACACAAATTGAACGTGTACGTGATGGACTCATTGTCAACCAGACACGGGGCCAAAACGAGCATACACGGAGGGGCATTCGTAAATTATGTGGCCGACAGGCTATGCTTGATATGCTTAAGAAGGCTGAAAGAGAACGGCAAAGAGAAATTGAGGGCTTGTGGATCCATCGGGCCGTATCTCAATTCCCCTATCGTAATCGCATTCAGGTTTGTTCAATAATTGGTTGATATTTTCCTTTTGTATTACTACTTTATTATCCAATTTTTCTGCATCATGCGGTTATTATCTTTCAAGTTTGGTTTCGGAGTTTGTTACTGTGGCTGTGTAAGATATTCACATCAGTTGAGCCAAGCATAACTTGTAAGTGAGTAAGCACTTTGATTATACACTGAGTTTCAAGGCAAAATTATAGTAATACGATATCATTATAGGGATAGCAAACTTATGTTTAAAATCCAAAGTATAATAATGTAGTGTGGGAAAAATGTAAAGCATACCAAATGCAAAAATAGTTCAAATCCTAAGATTTGTCCTCCATTTGATGAATGCTTGTTGAAATGTTTACAGGCACTGCTTAGAGGCAGATTCTTGAGAAATGATAGACCTGTTGATAATAACAGGCCCCTTTCTGTTGCAGAAAGCGAGTTGGGCTTTTTGAGGCGGAAACAAACTGTATCAGGTCTAAGGTATGAATTTCTATATGACATTCAGTTGATGCTTTCAACTACATTTTTCTTGCATAATTTTGTTGTCTTTATTATCCAAGGTTTTACTTGATAGATATGCATGACATCTCGTGCACAGGTTGCTTCATATATAATATAACTTCATTTCATAACATACAGGTTGGCTTGTATTGAAAAATTGGTATATGCATCTTTTTGTATGTGAAACTTTATGGAATTCAAATTTTACTAGTTTTTGTATTATTGGATTCAAGTGCTCATTTTTTCCCTAGATATTTTTAGAAGAAACGTGAAATACTAACAAAGAAAAATCACTTAATTGACAATCAAATAGAACTGTTGTACAGGGCTAACTGTGAAATTTAATAACATTTTAAAAAAATCCCTCCCCCTGTTTTCATCTTTCTAAAGATGGGTAAATCCCATTTGCTCGTATTTTTCTCTTTGCTACAGCACTTGAATCAGTAACCCTTAATCTGATTGGAGGACTTGTTAAATACTTTAGCCTCATGTTCATTTTAATTATAGTTTGATAAATGCTAATGACATTAATTTGTCTTCTGAACAGGGAGGGATTTTTCGCTAGAAAGGAGAATAGTAGTTGCAGTCAAGCAACCAGCAATGTATCTGATACCTCGTCCAATGTTGATATTGATTTTAATACTAATGAACAAATGGGATCAACCAGTTCACATTTGGCCCCAACTGTACATTCTGAACAGTCAGACCCTAATGACAGAGGAAACGATGGATTTGTGGTATCGAGCAGCCAGAGCTGTGAACAAGGTACCATATCTGAGAATTTAAATAAAAAAGAATATACTGCACAAATAGGAGATCTATTGCAGCATTTGCCAATTGAATCACTAGATTGTCAGTCATCATTCAGTGCCAGTGTTGAAAGAGTGAACAACACTGAGCAAAATGTTGATGTGATGGCAACTGAATATAGCGCCAATGAAATTACCCAACAAAGTTCACGAATTGAAGATTCAGAGCATCGTAATAACCAGGAATTCAGTGAGGTGTATAACGAGCATTATGAGCTGGGTGATAATTATGACATTCGTACAGAGGGTAATGTTGCTGATGATGTAAATTGGAATGAATCTGGCGCTCTAGAACTAGAACAGGTAGAAGAAGCTTTTGAGAATGAAGGAAGTGAGTGGTATCAAAATAATACCGAATGGAGAAATAGCACCGATGAAAATGTGAATGATAATCAGCCCAGTAATACAGCAAATGAGTGGCCTGAAAACACATTGGGAAATGGAGATGGAGAAAACTCTCATCTGCAAGAATCTCATGAAGCATGGCATGAAGATGGTGGCTTCCAAGAGGCTGTGGAAAATTGGTTGGGAGGACCTTCTGATCATGAAAGTGCTCCAGTTGGTAGAATTCGAGGATTTTATTTTCCTGAAGATGACAATGTGTACAGTGTTGAACTCAGGGAACTTCTTAATAGGTGTGTAAATACAAGTGTGCAGATCTTTGCACTTATTTTTTGAAAATGAAACCTGTAGTCTAGAATAAATCTTTCTTTTTATCTTGCAGGAGAAGTGTCTCTAACCTCCTTCACAGCAGTTTCCGGGAGAATCTTGATCAGTTAATACAATCATATGTTGAAAGGCAGGGCCATGCTCACATTGACTGGGAGTTGCAAGAAACAACCCCCTCATCTGACTCAGTAGAGCAGGACCTTGTGCAGCAGAGTAGGGATCAAATTGTTGATCAGGAGGGTCCTGTTAATAGTCCACTTGATCTGCCATCTTTACCTATACCGCCTCCTCTACCTCTATGGGACCAGCAGCACCACCGGGACAACTGGTCACAGAATGACATAAATAATCAGCGTCTAGGAATTGTGCGTAAATTTGCTTTTTGATTATTTGTTCACTATGCCCTAATAAACTGAAAACAAATTATTTTTATTTGTTATTAGTTGTGTAAATTAATTTTATTGGTTAATGACTTGAGAATAATTTTCTGATTTGTCTTTTTGGCAGGATTGGGAGATTGTTAATGACTTGAGAATTGACATGGCTCGATTGCAACAAAGGATGAATAACATGCAGAGAATGCTCGAGGCTTGTATGGATATGCAGCTTGAGTTGCAGCGCTCCATAAGACAGGAAGTTTCTGCGGCCCTAAATCGCTCTGCTGATTCATCAGGTTTGCTATTTGTCTTACCATTTCACATCCCTATTTTCAGGGTTTTCCGTTTTGCTACTCTAACTTTGTGATATTTTTGAAGAGAAACAACTTTTGTCATATAGCTTTCTGATAAGACTAAGTTCAATTTATTTCAGGAATACCTGATTGCGAGTCACCAGAAGATAAATCTAAATGGGAATGTGTGAGAAAAGGTCTTTGCTGTGTATGCTGCGAAAGCAATATCGATTCTTTGTTGTACAGGTAATTTTCTGTAACAAGCTGGACACATTTATAGCCAGTTTGTACCTAAACTTTATTGTAATATCTAAAAGAGTATCCTCGTACTTCTGTTGCAGATGTGGTCATTTGTGCACATGTTCAAAATGTGCCAATGAATTGTTCCAAAGCAGAAAAAAGTGCCCTATGTGTCAAGCTCCTGTGGTGGAGGTGATACGTGCTTATTCTATACAATAATTTGACATTAATATAAAAGGTCACACTTTTAACAAAATACAGGATTCTAACAAGTTTTATCTCCTGGACGTTTCCAGGTAATCTTTTTCGTTTTTAATTTTTTTGTTTCTTACTGTGATTACTGTATTTATGTCGCGTGAACCAGTGGAACACATGATGGCATTTTTTTGGGCCATGATTCTCATATGAATAAAAATTGTATGTCCCTTTTGAAGTTTCGTTTTGCACTTTTTGTTGTTTTGGGATTAAGAAGTTTCGTCATTTTAATTCTAGGTGGACGGTGGTTATAGACTTGTAAAAATCAAACCTGTTTCAGCATTATTTATGTAATTATAACGTTGCTCTGAAGTGTAAGACTGTTTTGGGTTGTTGTACACTACATATATCGAAATCAGATTGGTTTTGTTCTGAAGTGGGTTATGGTGTGAACTCGTCTGACTGTGTTTTGGACCGTACCTTTGTGATTTGTGTCATCAAACCTGCACCTTCTGTTCTAGGATATGTAGGTTTTTTTATTGGAGGTGTGGTCTGATGTTTGGTAGAAGTTTCTTGACAAATCACGGCAACAAAGTTTTGGTTGGATCAAACACCATTTCCAATTTCCAAATGTTCTTGTCTTTTAATTTCTTTACTTTTGCATGGTTGTCAGTTTGGTAAGACAATAATATTGGCATCCCTTTTTACGCAATGATTTCATTTTTACTAATCCACGTAACTAATTGCGTAGGTACTTTTGCTTTTAGCTGCAGGTGTTGGAGTATGACCCAGTAACATCTAACATTTGACTTTTGGGTAATGATAAAATATAGAAATGAATAATAAATAACTGCTATTAAAATAATATATCAAATATAGCAAATGAACCAATCATGTAACTGCCATCAACATACCAAATATATATATAGGAGAACATAACTAATGTTGTTCAAAGGAATTATTTAAGGTCGTTGCTTTGTTCTATTCAATGTTTTTTATACGACATATGAATTAAGGAAATATATGCAGTGAAGCTTAAATATTTTAGTGGTACAATTTATAAAAATAATGTTATAAGATTATAAGGTATAATTTGACATATAATATTATAAGATTAATTTCCAGACAGTATGTTATGATAATTTTGAAAATTGTTTTAGAATAGTATCTGTTAATTGTGTTAACCCAGGAATACATTTGTTAACTGTTTTTGCGTTAAATCAATGGCTGGTAAAGTGTTTCAGTTTTATTTTGTTTGGTGTACGGTTAACTAGGTGTACATGGGTCGGGTGAATAAAATCTATCACTCAATAAAAAAATCCTGTATTAAGTTGGACTTTTATATATTTTTATTTAATTAGATTGAATTGCGTTAATTGTTATAAATTGTTAAATTCTTTTATTATACATATTTAGATAATATAATTGAATAAATTAAGAAATAAAGATATTATTATTAAAGTTATTTAATAATTATGATCTAGGTTTAGTTAGATATTAGAGTCAAGATACAAAATTCATTATTTAATTTGTATAAAATTTGGTTATATTAAATTGAGTCAGGTTTAATTAATCATAGATAAAAGTTAACCTAATCTACTTAAGTTTGATTGGGTTATTCAATCCAATAAACATCCTTATAGTTGATTAAAATGAAAAGAAATAATAGTATTAATAAGTTATTAATTATTCAATTTCATAGTATTAATAAGTTACTAATTATCCAATTTCTTATAAATGATCAAGTTTTAGTTTATTGCTTTTGTAATTGTCAACTGTTTTAAGTAACACATAATTAAACTATTTCATCTAAGTTAAATATTACTGAATTTTTTTTTTCTTGGTCTTTTTATATGCATTTGGCATGGTTTAAAATAAGAAAACACATAAAGATTTGAAGGGACATTTTTTGGTATTGTGAAGTATGTTAGGGTTGAACATTAAGAGCAATTATAATAATAGAGATGTATCCTTAATAGAATGAGAAGTGGATGCGGATAAGGTTCTAATGCACATCCTATAAAGAGACAATTAACTAATAATTAAGTTATAATTAATTAACCACAACTTTTTAATTTTTAACATTCATATGAATTATAACAACTATTTGGAGACTTGGAGTACACTTAACATGCTAAAAGGTGCATATACAGAGCATTATACAAAAAGTAAAATAAAATAAATACAAATGTAATGTATCGCATTAAGCCATTTAATCTCAAATCCAGAAGTAATTAATAGTGTGAAATGCAACAAAAATTAACCACCGTTTGAAGGTTTCAATCAATATTTAACTATTTGATAGATAAGTTTACCAAGTATTTTTTAATTATACAAAATTTAAGCAAATTGAATTTTCCCCTTCATGCTGAAGTCCTTAGATACACTCATAACCATCCCATTTTAGGGATCGTTTAGGATACAGATAGAAAAATTCAAGAGTAATGCTATTAAATATTAAATAACGTTAAATATTAATAATTAATCTGATTACTTAAGAAAATAAATAACATAGAGAATATTATAAAATATTTTCTAAATTTATATAATACTTTTCTTATATTTTTTTATCTCATTGACTTTTTATTACTTATCATTATTTACATCATCAAAATGTAGAAAAAATTAAAATTCATTAGTTGAAATAAAATAAATGTAGGAAGGTGAACCTACACCAAATCAGAAAATTTAATTTTTCTCATCTTTATATTTATATTTAGAATCAATTTCTTAAATAATATATTTTAAAATAAAAAAAATAAAATATCTATTTATTTATCAAATTAAACCTATTTATTATTTACTTAAAAAATTTAATAATAAAAAAAATTCATTTGATATAATACAGATATTTTAATTTTTTTCTCGTTTATTTATTTTATTTTTTTATCATCATTTTCTTTTTTTCTTTTTTTCTATCATTCATCTTATTCTTTTAATTAAAAATATTAAATTAAATTTTATAAAATAATTTTTTCATTATTTAAAAAAATATATAAATTAATTATTTATTTTATCATAAATAAAATTATTTATTATTATAATATATAAATTATTTATTTTATCATCATAATTTTAAATAATTAATAGATATTTTTTAAGTTTTAATATTGATTTAAAAAATTTATATATTTTTTTACTTATAAAGAGATAAATGATATGTATTATCTTAATAATTTAATATAATAATTTGTAATACCTCAAATTTATAATATAATTTTTTAAAAATATAATACTTTTGGATAATTTTATTTGTTTTATTTTTAAAATTAATAAAAAATTTATTTTATCAAATTTAATTTAGTGTTTTTAATTAAAAGAATAAGATAAGTCACAGAAAAATAAAAAAAAAGGAAGAGAGGAAAAAAATCACTAAGGATAGAAAAAAATTACAATAAATAAATAAATAGAGAAAAAAATAAAAACAAAATAAAAAAAATAAAAAATAAAAAAATATATTTATATTATATCATAAAAAATTATTTTTTATTATTAATTTTTATATAAAAAATAAACAGTAAATAAATTTACATATATTTTATTTAAATAACTTTTTATTTTAAATGTATTATTTAAGAAATTAATTCTTATATTTAAGTAGATAGACATTTTTTTTATATATATACTACATTATTTTCAAACAAAATCCTGCCATGTGCTTCACTGCTCTAACAGATGTTAACAGTGAGTGCGGAAAGAATTTTGCTTAAAAAAATAATTGTTTTTCATTTCAAACGTTTCATAATAAAATATATTATTTCAAAATATACAAATTCGAAATAAATTGAAATTATATGAATTTATGAAACTAATAATTATTAATATTAAGACTTAGACTTTATTAAAATATTATTGTCTTGATTTTAATAGAGATATAAAATGTTAAGAATATTTATATCTAATGTCAAACAATTTTTTTATTATTATTTACGTTAACTCAACATTATTTTTACCAATTTCAATCAAAATGTAAGGAGGGATTAATTTCCTACCAATGCTAGTGAATTTTTTTTACTAATACTGGTTGAGTTGTTTTTTTCATTGTGATTAAAAAATTTACAGATTATTTATTTATCGGTATAAATTAACATTATCTCTTATTATATTTTATTTACAATTTTTTCGACTAATATTAGTGAAACTATTTTTAAATAGATATTAGTCAAATATTTTGAATAAAAATCTATTATAGTTTTTTAATTATTTTATTTATGTTATCTATACTATTTATTTATCTAAAATTGGTTTGACAATAATAATTTTTAAATATCAATGGATAAAATTTTTATCATTAACCTTGATTAGAATAAATTTTCACCAATGTTAGTCATTTTTTCAAAAACCTGAATGGAAAAAATTGAAAAAAAAAAACTTGACCAAAAGCCTTTAAAATAATAATTATAGTTATAATCTATATGACAAAAAACGATATCAATTAAAATAAGTTGCATATACGTTAATTGAGATTTTTTTTATGAATATCAATAAAAAAATTCTTAACAAATTTTAATAAAATTATTTTTGAAGTTTTAAATTATTAATATTATTTAATATTACTGTTTTATTTGGTAATAATTTTAATATTTTATACAGAATTTAAAAATCAATAATTTTAAATATTTTAAAATTAAACATTTTAAATAAATTGACGCGATAGAATAAAAAAATATAAATAAAAAGAAATGAAAGATAAAATAAGAATATATATATATATATATTTAATCGAAGAAAAGTAGAAAAAAAGATGGAAAAAAATATTAGCATCGATGAAAGTTGAGTGATTAGTGTTAGAGGTGAACCTCTGTACGTTCTGTACGCCGGATTCTTGAGAAGACTGGGACCCACGTCGATTTCAGTCTTATCTATCTTTCAATGCACCCACGTTTTTTTATATTCCAAAATATGTTATATTATGTATATTATTAAAATTTATACATAACATTAATCTATAAAATAAAATAAAAAGAAAAGATAGATAATATATTACTCTTTCTAATTTCGAATATAAAAACGTTTTAAGTGTTACTTTTAAATATAAGAGATCTTAACTCATTTCAATTTATTTAATAAAATAATTTCTTAAATACTTTTAATTAATTAGTATTTGACTTTTAATAATTTTTTTATATGAAGTATTTTATAAGCGTTCAATCAAATGTTTTAATGTTATGTTGTCATATTGTTAAAATTAATTTTTATTTATGAGGTATTTAATATTTTAAAATTTTATTTTATAAAGATATATCGATGAATTAAAAAAAATGATGTATAAATTATTGTTGTTTCAACTACTAAAGTGAAATAAATATAATTCCTATTCAAGGAGTAAAAGTTATGAAAGTGAAATGATATTTGGCTCATAAACTCATAATGAACGTGAATGTTATCATATAATATATAAGAGATCGAAATATTTTTATTTTTTAAAAAATATTGACACCTATCTTAGAATTGAAAATAGAATTTTGTTCACTACAAATTAGAAACTTATACTCAAATAAAGTTTGTATAATTTAAGTGTGAAGTGATTTTATATATCCTTTCTCCTTATCTACCAAAAACACCTTTTAAAAATAAATTTGTAAAAAAGAAAAATAAAATTTCAAAACCAATAATATATTAACATATAACTTACCTGATATTATCTAAGATTATTATATTTTTAAATGGAATAATAATATGTATAAGATTAAGTGAGAATATTAATTTAATTTTATTAATAAAAACACATGTAAAGTATTTATCATTTTATTTTTAAATTAACTTTAAAGTCTTGTAAGTTTTATTTTTTTTAACTAAATATTTTAATTGTATCTTTTAGCTTTAATTATTATACATTTCCATAATGTGTTAATCTTTCGGTCAAATTTAAAATGAAACAAAATAAAAATATTTAAATAGAAATTATATTTTTATTATTTTAATTAATACAGTGATTAAAATATCTTGAAACATATGTTGAAAAAGATAGAATAAATAATATAACTAATGTACCAATTAGAATAAACAATCTAATATAAAAACTATTCGAAAAATAAAATTACTATTTATCAAATACCTCGAATTATAATATAATATAATATAATAAAATAGATATTGTAAATAGTATACTGAGTAAAAAAACTTAATGTGATATATATATATATATATATATATATATATATATATATATATATATATATATATATATATATATATATATTAGGTAACAGCAAATTGCGTAGAATTATTATCTATCATTGTTAATATCATATGTAATAATGGATTAAAAATAAGAAAACTCTACGTTATGTGAGAAAGGATAAAAATAATAAGACGTGGAGAGAAAATGTATATAATAAAATGTTACCTTGTAAACAAAAAAAATAGAAGTAAATTTTAATAAATATTTAAAAAACAAAAGAGGAGAAAATACAAAAAATAAATAAATTAACACTTAAAAAATGTTTGTTGAATTTATACTCACAAAATGATAAAGTCCTGCAAGAAAGTTTGTTTACTAAACATTACTATTATTATTAGTATGGTCTAACAAAATGTCTGGTTACTAAAAAGTTAGGAACAAATTCGTTTGATTTGTCAAACATAACTTGTACTTTATATAGTTAATAAAAACTATTTTTTTTCATTTATAAGATTAAATAGTTTAATTAAATAAAAGAAATTGTTAATTTAGTTGATAATATTAAATATATATTTTTCATAGCTTTCTTCACTTTAATAAAATATTATTACAAGAAAACTTATTTATAAAAATTGAATTATTTATCAAAAGAACATAGATTACACTCTTAATTTATCTCTTCATTTTTATTTGATAAATATATCCTCTTACAGTTTTATCATTAACTTTTTTTTCTATAACTATCATTGTATCCAAATTATACTACCCAAATTTCAAATTCGTTTTTAACTTTTTCAATTTTATTTCATTATTACTACAACATTAATTCAATTCTATTTTTTAAATGTAGTTATTGTTGTTAAATTGTCACGACAATACAATATAATATGGATATAATCATATTTTTTAATATGATATTAATATGTATATATAATACATATTATTAATTACATATTGTATATTATATTTATGTCAATATATATATATATATATATATATATATATTATTAAATATAATACATTATTAATTATGTATTACATATATTATACGCCACATTAAACAATTTAAAATTAACTCATACTTTAAGAAGATACAATATTATTCAGTTGAAATGAAATAATACTAAATAAATACCAAAGATTGTAATATGTCAATATATATCATAATCTTATACCTGATGCTGGTTGGTTGTTCTTAAATATTATCTGACTATATAACAATGAGAAGATGATAGTAGAAAATTGGAGTTCAATTTCTACTAATTAGCGATAATCATGATATTCTAAACATGATGAAGAAAATTTATGAAAATAAAATAATTTCGTGAATGAAAGGAAGGAAATGTTACGTTTATGAGGTTGGGAGAAGAGAAGAAGAAAAAATATTGAAGAAAGAAATAAAGGAAAAGTTATGGAGTAATTGATAGTAATTCTAGTACAAGAAAATGGAAATGAGAAAAGGGAAAATTGTATTCACAAATACAATGGAAGACGCAGATGTTGATGGAGGGGAGTGGTTGAAGCAGAGTTAATATGAATAAGCCAATGCCCTCTAACACACGCAACACTCTTCTCCACTCCTAATCCAAGTTTGTTACGGAAACCACTTCTCCTTCTTCTTCTGCTCCTCCTCCTCTCACTGTCACCGACTCCACCTCTCCACAGTTCTCGCAGCAGCACCGGCACACGGGGCAGGTCACGTGCTTCTCCAGCCACGTGTCAATGCACTCTCCGTGGAACACGTGCCTGCAGTACGCAATCATCTTCACCACCTCCCCCTCTCCCACCTCCTCCAGACATATCGCGCACTCCCCCTCCCTCGACTCCTGCGCCACCACCGCCACCGACTTCCCAGCGCCTGACTCCTCCGCCGATCTCTGTGGCACGCGGCGGCGGATGTCGCCCCTCTCGGAGGAGGAGGACGTGGAGGAGTTTTGCTGGAAGTAGAGAAACACGAATCCGATGAAGAAGAAGGTGGTGAAGAGGATGAGGAAAACGTAGGCCACGCTCGATGTGAACACCGGACGAATGGACACTGCCAGAGGGCTTCCGAAGGACTCTGGCGGCGAGGACGCGTTTGTGGCGTGTTTGGCTTGAGGGAGAGGAGGGATGGACGTGGAGATTGGAACGTCCTCGTTCTGTAGCAGCAATCTGCGGTAAGAGAATTCCATTTTCTTTTAATTTCTCAGCAACCAAACACTGTCCAACGTGCTTGCTTGTGAGAATCATAAAAGGTGTTGCAGTGGAGTGTAGTGTAGGAGCTTTTATGTTTTCTAATTATCATAATAATAAATATTAAATAGAAAATGAATAATTGATATATTTTGGTGTAATAAATAAATTATATGATAGGGACTGAGAATGGGAGCCACCTCATTTAATCCGTGACTCTCGAGTTTACGGGAATGTTGCATTGAACCTTCTAATTACAATATGATTATGATTAATTTGTAATTACCACTGGTATTAATTTGGGAAAGTGAGTTTTAGCTTCTTTTATTTGATTTTAATTTTGGAGTAGAATATATAAAATGTGGAATGATAATGTGCACAGGGTGACGTGATGACAGGGCAGGAGATGCAATATTCTTTTGTTCCAGCACCGACGATTTGCTCTGTTGGATTTTAGCCATATGTTTTTCCGAACCATATACTAAAATATTTATACATGAACTGTGTCTAAAATGTTACTGTGAGTGAAACAACATTGGCTGCTTCTGTGAGAATTTATCTATGGAGGTACTCCTCTGTTTCTATACTGATATGTACATGTACAAAACATGTAAGATTATCTCTTCTACTTCATTCTTCATTGCAACATTACATCAGTTGTTACATTTGTTAATTTTTTTTTTCTCTTTCCTTAATTTTCTTTGGCTTTATCTCACTTCCTTTCATTCATTCAAATATTACTTAATTGGTTTTATAGTCAACCATAGGTCTCAAAGGCTAACAACCACTAATATATGGTAAAGGGGATAAGCTGACATTCCCAACATGCAGATCTCTGTTTTCTGAAACAACCTTGTGGCCATAAGATGGTGTGACTCTGGAATAAGTTAAGTGACTTCTAAACTTATTGTGGGTGAACACCAATATCTTGCAGACAATTTTAACATTGGACATGAGCAGAAACGTGTTGTTAGGGGGAGTTGGCAAAGACAGTTCCATTCCATGATGCAAGTAGCAGATGGAGACTTCTCCTTAGATCTTCGACTACAAAGAGATGCAGATATAGATGGTGCTCTCAGGGATGAACAAAATTTCATTTTGAATTATATTCCTAATTTTATGTTAAAACAGTTGCTATGGTAAAGCAGTTAATATGTTCCTAATAAATTAACTGTATTCTCATGTTAATTTTAGTTGAATATATGAATAAGATAATTATGTGTTGACAAAATAGATACATAACAAACCCACTCAGACAATTTTTATTTGATTGATAAATTTTAGTTTGATAGATCTTAATCTGGCATCTTCTAATTTAATAGACTTTATCATAACAAATGAAAGGTAACAGAAATTTTATTTAAATTGGTAAATTTTAGTTTGAAAAATTTTAATCTAGTAGATTTTATCTTAAAACAATCTTTGAAATGGAATTGTTTTAAAAAGTTATGGATAAAAAAATATTATTTTAATGTGTTTTATTTATAAAGTTATTTAGAAAACTTATTATGAAAACAATTTTTTATTTATATTTAAATAATATTTTTCTAAGAATTCTTTTAAATTTTGAATATTTTAACAAATAAATAAATTTATTCTATATTAATATATTTTTCATTTTTTTTAGTTACTTATTGGATTTGTATACTGGTTTGCTTTTACAAATCATATAAATACTTAACAAAATATCATTTATTTTTGCGAATTAAACTTATTTAGCTCATTTAAAATGTCGTAAATGGACATAACTGATCAAATTATTCAGATTTATCCATCTGTTATAAAAGTTTAGAGAATAAAAAAATAATTAAAGTTATTAACTTATATACTGTTCATGTATAAATATATTTAGTAAAGTGTATCTATATTAGAATATTCAAGGTATCCTCCGATAAAATAATTTTAACAGTTAATTTTATCATCGATAACTAATTTTTTTACTTTATTTATTCTAGAGGAGTCTAGTTATTATGGATTTTATTTCGGCGTATCTTTTTGGAGTGTTTGTGGGACCAAAAACATGTTAGGATTTGGTTTTTCATTGAATCAATTTTTTTTTTTTTTTTTGGTTTTCATAGAGTCAATTCTAAATTATAGTCTTGATTCTACGAAGCGATTATGCATAAATAATTCCATTCCAAAGTAGGATGAGATTAGAACGATGAAAACAAAACTACAGAGTACTTTATTTGAGGTTTATTTCTTAGTTATTAATTATACTACAGAACAATACATTCTTCTTGCAACATTAAAAAGGTATAATAATGTAGTACTAGTAAATTTATCTTTCCCCTTTTGAAACAAAAAGGACAAAAAGCACACAGAAAGAAGATATATAAATATCTCTAAAAAGTTTTTTTTTATATTAAAAACTTGAAAGATTTTGGTAAGCGAAGTTTAAGTTAACTCAGAACCAGTAGATTCTTGTACAACTTACATACACCTATTATGTTACCCCTGTGGTTATGCTCATCCATTCCTCTGAAACATAGGACAAAAACTTCGACAAGTTCTTCTTTGTCTTTCTTCAATATTAAAGGGGGTTAAAATACAACAATATCATCCACCAAGTAGAATACTGTGAAATATGAAACCAAAATTCTCTCCACCCCCAGAAAATCAAATAAATTGGAAGTAGCTACTAATTGCATTTCACATAACAGTCAGTAATGTACATTTCTAACCCTACGAAGAAGAAGCAAGCAACCATTCATTTGTTGCTACTTCTACAAATTGCAAAATACAAAAACAACAACACAATACTAAATACCTAGTCTTTATATTTATATATCAAACATAGAAATATTGTCTAGACTGAATAAGTAGATGTGCATTCATCAGGTGTCATAGGAGGTGAAGGTATTCACAGCCTTGACCCCTTCAGCAATGGCATGCTTCCCAAGCTCTCCTGGCAAAACCAGCTTCACTGCTCCTTGAATCTCCCTTGAAGACAATGTCATGTGTCCAGTGTAGTCCTTCAGCTTAGCAGCCTCACCAGCCAGCCTCTCAAACATGTCATTCATCAAGTTGTTCAGAATAATCATGCATTTGGAAGAGATTCCCATTTCAGGGTGCACCTGCTTCAACACCCTATACACATACCTCTGATAACCTTCTGCACTTCTCCTCCCTCTCTTTTTCTCTTTACCATTATGCCCTTTTGGGGTCTTGGCCTTCTTCTTCTCGACTTCTTCAATCTCTCCCTTGTTCTCTTTCTCTTGATTTTGGACTCCACCATCTTGAGTAGTGTTGTCTTGCTCACCTTTGTTTTCATTAGTGATGACAGAGGTAGACGAATTCTTTTGGGCTTCAGGGTTCACTTCTTGGATAGGAATGACTATCACATTCTCTTGGCCACCTACTGCTTCTTCTGTTTGAATATTATCTTTGCTTCCACGGGTTTGTCTTTTTCTGTTGGTGCCTACAACCGAAACTTGCACACTTGATTCCACCACTTTCTTGGTGGATCTCACCACCAACTTCTCAGCACGTTTTGGAGCCATTAACTACTTCTTCTCCTACCCTTCAAGCTTTTTTTTAGAAACAAAGAGAGTAAGTTGCAAATTGATGAGTATGTTAAAAGAAGAATCAGCCAAACCTTGTGCTTGACGTGTGGACACCAGGTGTCAAATGCCTAAGAACCAAGTAAATACGTGGGGTTAAAAGTGTATGGTAAGTTCAGAAGAGAGTTCAGAGGATGTGTATCCCACTGTGATTCTGTCCCTTCATATTTATTGTTTTATATGTCAGATTTTTAAAGAACTTGGTCATGTCAATGTCAGCATCCTTTAAAATTTATTCAAGAAATGCATCCTGTGGTGGGGTTTGTTAAAATATGTCCTGATTCCAAGTTTGTAAAGTTTATTTAGGGAGATCACTGCTAGTAGAACTTCTTGATGAATATATCTTGCACAAATTTGTAAAATGCTTTAATCAACAAAGGGAAGAGCTCTTTCATTACTTGAATCCTCACACATTCGGTGGGAGGGATAAAGCTGTCTTCAACTACAAGACTATATATATATATATATATATATAAGACAGGTCTTATCAGTACTCATTGGAACCCCTTCACAACACAAAATAACAAAAGTAATAAGGGAGTTCAAAATATAGAAGAAAATGTCTCAGAATTAATAACTAATTATGAAAAAATTTAGAGAAAAAGGATTGCAACTTGTTGTTTTAAATAATAAAAAATAATTATATCTTATAAGTAATTACATTAAAGTTTATGTATGTGACTATAAAAGTTAAGAAAAATAAATAGCACACTAAAAAAAATCTTTTAGAGAGTATTATTTACTTAAATATTATCACCTGCCTTAAAAAAAAACTCTCAAACTTTCTATCACTACGGGCCTATTTCACAAAACTTTTATTTTTTATATTAAAATATTATATTATATTAATATTTAATTATAATAATTAAATACTTTAAATTATATAAAAATATGAATTTTTATAAAAAAATTATTGGAATAAATATGTGTTAGTTAAAAAAAATAAAAAAAATTAGAGAATGATTTCTCATTTCCGCGCTAAAATACCAGAAATCTTTCTAATTAAGAAAATCAAATTTGAATATATATTGATGATTATTTTTATTAATATAATAATAATACTAATTATTATTATTATTATTATTATTATATAAATATTATTATTATTATTATTTTTATTCTATTCGAAATTATAAGTTAAACTCCAGAAATTAATACATTAATTCCGTATAAATATTAAATTTACGCTAATTTTCTCGGGGTTTAGTAAATTTTAAAGTCAAACTAAACTATTCACTTAATCTGCACACTTATCTTCATGACATGTTTTATTTCCTGAATAATCAAAATATAAGTTTTAATTTCTACATTTAGAAGTTAATTATCATACTTTAGGCTTGTTTTCAACCATATTAACAGTGTTTCATAAGTAGACATAGTTTTACTAGTTTTTTAAATTTACATGAAACTCATAACATTTTCTTAATATGCCAATCAAACTACATGTCCCATGTCACATACTATACCTATTATAGTGATCACAATTAAACTTGTCCCCCGTAGAGATCGACCTATCTTTGCCCCGAGTTTGACGGGAAAAATCCGAGTTGATCGGGGGCGAATTTGGGTTTTTCCCGCTTTAAAAAGTCGGAGGCGGAGATGAGTAATGCAATTCCCACCCCAACCCCGACCCCGTCTCGCCTCGACTTTATATTTAAATTTTAAAATATTAATATTTTAAAATTATTTTCTTTTTTTTTCTATTACATACAAAGTCATTTTTTTATATTTCACCAATTTTTATTTTTTTTCTACCTATTTTTAATTTTTTTATTTTTTTTAATCTTTTATATCAATTAATTTATTACATTATTTTTTCTTTTACCTTTCAGTTTTTCACATTTCCTTAATCTCTCCTATCAATTTGTTTTTTTTTCAATCTTTTCAATCAATTTGATGAACACAAAGTTAATTTTTTTATTCTTTATCTTTTTCTAAATATTTTACATAAATCTTAGTAGTAACTAATATTATTTTATTTATAATTTATATTTATTAGGTTTTATTATGTCATTTTTTATCTTATTATTCTTATTTATCATGTTTCAAATTTTATCTTAATAAAATAATTGTATTTTAAAGGATTAAAATAATTGATAATTTAAACTTTTATTACTTTGAACTAATTGAATAATAATTAACTTATTAAATATTTCCATTATAAACTATATATTTCATATTTTTAAATAACAACTTAAAAATGAATTAACTTTTATATATATATATATATATAAAATCATATGTTTGAATACAGTTTTATAATAATAATGTTATAAGTATTCAAATATTTAAATACGAGTATTATAATAATAATAATAATAATGTTATAAATAAAAAATGATTAAATATTTCTTTTACATACATATTTTAATATAAATATAATAAATTAAAATGTATATTTAATTAATAATTATTATAAAATTATAAATATTTATTTATATATAAAAAATAGATAGTAAAATTAATTTATTATAAATATAATTATATTTTTAAAAATAATATAAATCGGGGACAGGCGGGGATGAGGAACCCAAAATCCAGTGGGACGGGAATAAAAACTTAATTTCTAACTCCGATTTTATCAGGAGGCAGGAACGGGGATGATTAAAAAAGTCGGGGACGGAGAGAGGCAAAACCAGCTCCCGCGGGCTCCATTGCCATGTAAACTCTTACTTTAATTTTTAAGAAAAAACATTAATTTGATTAGTACGTGGTACAGGGCAATGATTATTGTTATGGTTTCTATATTGATTAGAAATCGATGATAATAATTTACAACGGATTAAAATAAAAAAACGGATAATATTTTAAATATAATAATTAACGATATTATTATAATAAAAAAATTTCATTTTTCACGAAACGATTATAAACCACGTCATTAATTATTATAAACTCGATAATTAGTTTATAAATGTGTGATGAATCAGCCTCTTACATACATTTCCAGAATTGCCATTAATTGCTACAGAAAATTTTTAATCTTGAAAGATTACTATAAATATTGCTAAGTCGATCTTATTTAATTTATTTTTTTTAAAACGAATTTAAAGATAACTTTTCAAAAATAAATTAGAAGAATTTTATTTTTCAAATTAAAAATATGAAAATAATAGACCAACAAACCCTATCGGTTTTGATCATTTCAGAGTTGTGAATATCAGGCCTGATCCTCTGTTTTGGGCCCAATTTACACATCAATCTTATTTGGGTTTTAAAATAAAAATAAAAATGAGAAACCCATAATAACTAGCCACTTAGAAAGGCGATAAGGGTAGCGTTGAATTCTAGAGGCCCATAATATATATGTATTGTTATTATAATGTTCATACATTATTCGAGAGTGTTTACTTATGAAGAATATTGGGATTCAAATTCAAACTTGTCTAATGAAAGTTGGGTAATTACAATAGAATCAACACTGTGAAGATATTCACTAAAAAATCAAATTTTCGATTAGAATTTCTTATATAAATAACGTATAAATAGATAAATTTTATACAATTAAAGTATACATATCAATTTCTAGCGAAAATATGTGAGTCCATTTGGTATTTAAATATAAAAATGGACAAAAAGGTGAAAGAGAATCTATAAATAAACAAAAACTGGACTACCATGACAGGACATAGTGAATGGTTTTGGCAGGAGAACTGGACATCCTTTTGACAGAACATTTTAAAATAAAGGAAGTACAAAGTATGTTCTCGTGGTGCTCGTGGGTGTGTCTTGGTCCCCATCCATGGCAAAGCATTTGGGTTTGAGGGTGACTTTTGGGCATATAAAGTTAATCCATAGTGGAGCAGCTTTCTCTCTCACCCTCTCTATCTTTTTCACGTCCTTTGTTTCCTTTTTGCTTTTCTATCCAAATTCAATCAAATACATCTTCAACTCAATCCAAACCAAACCAAACCTCATATTTCATACACTATTCTTTTCACTAATTCTATTTTTATTCTCCATGTTTTCAAAATACATCATCTGGTCAAAAGACTCCGTACATCTTAGTTTCACTATTTAGCCTTTACAAGCCAAATGCTACCTAATTCTTCTTCTTACTCAGGCTGTCATATATACATATATATATATATATATATATATATATATAGAGAGAGAGAGAGATGGATTAGATTCTAATTAATGACTAAAGCAAAATCTGAGGGCCTTTGAATGATATCCAACTTGAGTTCTTGAGAAATTATGTAGTCTCAAATCTCACATGTTTATTAACCTGATCAATTTTTATATAATATATGACAGAGGTTTTTTATTTTATAAAAATAATAAAACTCAAATATGTGTTTTTTCACGAGAACTAACGGAGATCATGATGACATAATAAAACTCAAATATTTATCTGTACCAAGCAGAAACTACTGTAACTCTGAAAACATCAGATAGAAAGTGCAATTACTGCTTCCCCTGCAACATATTTTTTATGGGAGCATGGAAGAGATTTCTTTTAAGTGACATGATAGGTTATCTTACTATGCCTATATATTTAATATCTATTAAAACAAAATAAGCACAAAACTTGCATATGGTATGTCACTGATAAATTTGGACATGAGACAATCCATTGTCATGGAACACACAATTGAGTGGAGATTCCTAGGTGACATGGATGATTGAAAATTTCATCCTCAAGTTAACTCTTGCAATCACTTGATGATGGAAAAGTTTAAGAACGACTCTACCTCTTCCAATACATGTGTGATAGGTTGAATTGCAGACATATTCATAACCATGATCTTATAGATTGAAAAACATGTATAGGGAAGTGTTAAAACTCAGAATAAAGTTTGAGATGATTATATTATTATATATAAGTCATGTGAGGATATTCACCCACAATTATTGTCTAAGAATTAACTTTCATACACTCCTACATCTCTTCTTAACTCTAGCAAGCTCAAACATGGATTGGAAGAAAGACTCTACCTCTTCATCATGCCTCACTACATGGCTGAACCCATTCAATGATGATCTTTTTATGCTTGAAAAGAAGGGTGACTTTTGTAGTCTTCTTTTCTTTCTTGGGGCAGGTGGACATTTTTGAATTATGGGAATCCTGTTACCCGAAGAAGTTGGAGTTTTGCAATCTTCCAATTCTTCACCATTTCCCTCTTGTGCAACAATCACCTTTAAGATCTTTGCATCTCCCACAGACCCTTCTTGTTTAGAAATGCTTGAATCTTCTAGTTGTGGAGGAACTTGATGCTGTGTTGACCCTGAAGACATGGAGTTTCACTAATACACACAAAAGCAAAAGAGTTAATGTGTAAGCAATAGACAATAAGTTATAGATGATGCAAAAGTGAAAGGTGAGAGTACTTGGAAGGTGGAAGCTTTTTAGTGTGTATTAATTTGTACCCTTTTGGCTCTCTTGTTCAAAGATTTGGTTGGAAACTTTTTGGTTGAAGGTTGAGAAATTGAAAGAGGATGTCAGTGACGTGCTTATGCTTACGGTGGTCGCCAAGGACAGGTGCATGTGAGAACGTGTAAGTTGGCAAGAAAGGCACTCTTCGGATCTGTTTTTGTTAGGACGTGTTGGATTCAATCGGGCACATAGCTTAGGTGGTAGCTACCCTAACCTTAACACGTCATATTTTACCATTTTGCTTGTTAACTTTCTATTGGATTGGTTAAATATGTAAGGAGAAAAATTTTCAAATATAAAAGAAAAAAATAGAAAATATTTTTATAAATAAAATTAATTTATGCATAAGTTAGTTAATAGAAATTATTTATCTTTTTTTTAAATCTAAATTTTAACTTATATATAAAATAATTTTAAATTTTAGACAATATATTTATATTTTTTCTTCAGTTAACTCTAATATTTATTATAAAATAATAATATTGTACATTATTGTACATTGTTCATGTATTATCCCAATTGATAAAGTATAATTTTTTTATAAGAAACTTATGATAATATTTTAAAATTTGTTGAATTGTTATGTACATGATAACATAATTATTATCCTTATATAATTTTGAAATGCAATTTTTTAAAATACATATTTATCTTTTATTCTTACTAACTTAAACTTTTGTTATGATATCATAACTCTATTTAGAGTTTTGTTAATATTATCATCTCATCATATTTGAAAATAAAATGATCACACTTAAAATTCATTAAATTTTTATTACATTCATTTTGTTGGAATTTAGATATAAGTTGAGAAAGACTCACGTACCTACTCGTTTTAAGGTTTTAAATTAAAATTTGTGTAAATTAAAATTTGTAATATTATTTTTGAGAAAGACTCACAAACCTACTAATTTAAAACGTGTCAATTAAATGAGAGAGTTAAAAAAAATATCAATACATATTTAATGCGAAAAAAACTCTTATATTTCTAGTAGATGTCCCAATTAAACAAGAGAGTTAAAAGAGAGTATCAACACATATTTAATGTGGTAAAAACTCTCATATTCCTAGTCATTTAAGGTCTTATTAAGTAAATTATTTACTTAATTAATCAAATTCCATCATAAAATCAATTCCAACTAAAGTTTCTTTAAAATTTTACACCTAAAATTTCAAGAACTTAAAGTTTTGTTGTTGTTTAATTTACGTGTCAACGCACGTTATAAATCATTATAAGGTTGATGTATGATCTACAAGTAGGGTACTACTAGGTTTTTCAATATGACACCAAAAATTACATTATTCTAGAGTTAAATACAAGGTTTTTATTGTGAGACATGTGATTTTTTAATAAATCTAATTTACTTTTCCATTATAAAGCACACTAAATAAAAAATCATTTTTCTCAAATATTCAACCTAGATGTTTTCTTACTAGGTCTGTCATTAGTGATTTCATCTAATTATTACTTACTGCCTCAACTATGTCCTAGTGAACATAATAGTGAGTCCATTTCTCAACATTAATGAATCAATCTCTAACTCGTCCTTCACATCACCTAATAATCTTTCTCATCATCAATTGTCATTGTATAGTTCAACTTGGATGCATAAGTCACTTTTTTACTTTTTTTTTTACTAACATTGTAACTTCTTTATGCAATTATTATCAAGATGTATATTTCATCTTATCTTTGTCATGTTCTATTATGATGTTCAACATTGTAACATTTTTCTCACATTATCATTATCAAATGACTTTGTCATTTGAATAGAGCTAATAAGTTATAAAAATGCTATCTAATATGAGAATTGATGTGAGATAATGTGTTCTAAGATGAATGCGTTCAAATTGAATAAAACTTGAAACATTATGAAAACACCCATTAATATTTGTCTTATTGGATGCAAATAAGTCTACAAAATTAAGCAAAATTCGAATGAGAGTGTGAAACGATGTAAAATTCTATTAGTTGCAAGATAGTATGCTCTAGCAACTGATTATCTTGACATTTTTTTACTTGTGCTTAAATGATTAACATAAGAATAATTTTTTATGTGACTTAAACAATGATACATTGATCAATTGGATCTTAGTAATGTGTTTTTTCATGAAGACTTGAACTAAGAGTGAACATAACTACTCTTAGAATTGATAATATTCAATCTTCTCAATATTGCAAACTCCTAAAATGTTTATATGAATTAAAACAACCAAGTCATTATGTTATGAGAAATTATCAATATATGGTCAGACTTACTCATATCATAGTCTTTTTACAAAGAGTGAGAGAAACAATTTTACAACCTCAATAATATATGTTGTCAATATTATACTCACTAAAAACAACATTGAGAAAATATCAAACATAAAAAAAAAAAAAATCTGTCAATCACACTTTCAAAGATCTTGAAGTATTAAAGTATTTCCTTAAGTTCAAGGTAACTCACTCATCCACGTATATCTCACTATGAATTATTAGATGATTATACTTTATCATATTTAAAACTGACATCTACACTTATAAATAGTTCTCTCCATCTTAGTCAAAACCATGGAAAAGAGCTTTTGGACCTTATCCTTATAGACTTGGTGGATCATTTGATTTACCTTACCTATACATGTCTAAACATTGTGTATGCTATCCAAAAATAGAATAAGTTTATCTCAAGACCTATTAAAGTTCATTTCAAAACTGTCACCAGCCTGCATTAATATTCAAAAATTTTCTTAATAGAGGTATATATTTTAGTAAGTAATTGATATTTCAAAAATTTAAGGATTTAATAATGCAACTAGTTTATTTGTGTAAATTTTCGCAAATTTATTATGCGTATTATTTCTTCTTATAACATCTTCGTCAAAGTTTTATTTTCAACATTATTTAAAGTCAATATATTTAATCTTAAATTTATTGACATCTTTGAGAGGGATGTAACAAAATTTATGATAATTACACATAACTACACATTAATCCAAATGATAATTTTTCTTAATCACAAACTTGTATATGATAATATGTTATAATTTTTTAAATTATTATGTATAGGATAACATGGTTGTTGCTTAATATAACTTTAAATATTTTTTTAATTTTGTAAATCATTATATTAATATAATTTTATCTTACCAAAGATAATAAAACACTACAAAACAAAATCCTATTATCTACAGGTAAAAATCCGTAGGTAAACGTACTTGCTTGAACAAAAACAATATTTTTTTCATTGAAACCCAGTACCCTCCCCTTTATAATATATTTTATAATATATTTTTATTATTTATTATTAAAATAATTATCACTAGTAGGAATTGAATCCAATACCTTAAAATTAGAGGTTGATACTCCAACCACTAAATTATTAAGATATTCTCATAATAACATACAAATACATTATATTTACATATATATATATATATATATATTTATATATGTATATATTTATATATTTCTAGTTTTGGACGTTTCTCCTTGATTGGATTGGAACATTTGAGCATCTATTATGTGATTGAGGTTAATACTCAATATACTATCTATTTTCTTATTGAAATTGAAGTCGTCTTATTTTAGGATTTCAATCACAATATTATATGAATGTCTCTATTGTGTTCTTTGTAGTAAAACCCTTTAAGAGAATATGAAACTTCACAACTTAAAGAAACAAAGTCAAAGGATAGTGGTCAAGCAATGTGAAATCAAGAGGATAGGGCACGTGCAAAGCAACTAAGAGGGAATCATATCCTTTTACACCGAACAAGTGAAAAATGTAGTTTCACATAATCTCATTCTTGGAGAGGAGCCATTGGAGCAGTTGAAAAGATAAGTGGAAGAGTGAATAAAGAAATTCAAACATGGTTAAAGAAGGTCTTAGGCATGCAAGGAAGAGAAGAATACAAAAATATGGGACACATTTAGTTGAGTTTCGAGAAAAATCTTAAGATTTATTGAGACATAAATTTACGTTAATAGTTATCATAACCAACGTAAATTTATGTTGGGTATACAATGCCCGACATAAAATTACCTTGATTAATTACTCCAACATAAATTTACTTCTCTTATATTAATGTTAAAATTTAATTAAATATAAAAATCTCAAAATAACAAACTTGAAAAATCTTTAATATAAATATAATAAAACATATTTTTCCAACAACAATTTAGTTCCATTTTCATAAAAAGCATGTGAGACATATCTGACTCCTTTTATTTGTTTGTATGTTCTTGTATATGTGTAGATGATATATTATACGGGAACAAATGCATGATGCTAAGCAAGGCACATGCCTTCTTTTAATATTTTCTCTTTTAGTTTTATTTTTGAGAATTGTAAAATTATAAAGTATGACATTGACGCTTAATTATTCATGTTTTATGTCTAGTTATAAACTTTAAATATGTGATAACACCATTGTCTTGATCATAAAGTTTTTTTTATTATTATTGTTTCTTATTTATTATTTTATTTAAAATAAAGAATGTCACAATAACAGTGTTTTGTTTTTTAAATTATCTAACAAAGAATGAGTTAGGAATGACACACTATTCAATAAATATTTATCTAATCTCCTATTAAAACGGTTTATCTACCGTAACAACATTAGGTGTTTTTCTACAAATCAAAAAATAGATTGAATTTTCTGTCACTGTACCAAAGTCTTCCGGAAACATCGTTTACAAATTAGACAACATTAAACTTTGGATCAAAATTATCCATTGAACATATCAGACTTTCAGTTTGAATCGAAACATGTTTGAGTAAAATTTTTCGAAAACAAAATTTAATGAACATGTTACTTTATTGCCAGTGGTTTGAACTATTAAAACCTGAGTGTGATGATAAGGTTTAATTGTCCAGTAAGTTATCTATTTTTTTCTACATATGTATGGGAACCATAAACTCATACCAACACTACTAAAAAATCTAGAATTGTTACAAATTTGTGATAAAAGTTATAAGAAATAATTTTTTTATGAATTTTAATAATTTTTTAGAAGAAAAATTGCGAAAAATAACTAAATTTTTAGTAATAAAAAATTGTTCAAATTTATATACGATGACTTAAAACGATGGAACGCGTATAGCCATTGAAAACTTATGAGTTTGGTGGTAGATGGATTTAACTTAATCACCAAAATTTATATATTATAATAGTTGTATTTATAAAAATTTAAAGTAAAATTATTGGGCAGTTTTAATTCCACATTCTTGCATGATTTACACTAATTATTAATGAACTGAAAATATTGGAAGACGATATATAAGAGAAGAAAAAAAGAAAGCAATAGTGTTGTTGAATGAAAAAGTTGATGTGTACAAGGGACATTTACACCTAGGATGTCTCATACATTTATTTAACGAATGCAAAGCGAAGCATTATTGCACCCAAAGCCAGCCTATCATGTAAAGTAACACCAACGTTGCTCTCTCCCCTTAGAACTTAAAAAAATTAATGCTCCCCATTAAGACAGCTTTGGTTTAAGGACACTCAAACCCACATGGGGATTGTGAGGAATGAGCTGGATAAAGAGCACAAATCCACCTTCAAATTAATTAATCATGAAACCTTAATTAGTTAATAATACTAATAATATAGATATATATATATCCAAAACTAAAACTCCTTATTATTCTTAATTGTACTATAATAATAACTTCAATTATGGACCTAAAGGTGCCCTTTGAGGTACCCCTTTTCTTCTCCTTGAATTTGAACAAGCATGTTGTGGAGATGGCCTTAGATGTGAATTAGAAGACGTGCTTTGGTACACTTGTTTTTGGATTCCTTCACGCAATTCTTCCTTTGATGGCAACCTTCTTGGCATTCCTTCATGCATTCTCCCTATTTCTTCGTCTTTCTTTGCGCTTAAGACAAAGCTCGCATTCCCATTCTTCTTTGTTCCTACAAGCTATTATTATTTATATACATACAATAAATAAATAAATTATTGTTATGCCAAAAAACTTGTACCAAAACCACTTCTAACCTTTATATATACTATTATTATTATTCTGTTGGGTGTGTATACAAAAACAACAAATCATGTAAAAACGAAACTGGAGGCAAGGAAAAGGAAACAACATAGTTCACCTTATTCGCAAAAAATTGGACTATTATGGAGATATGTTTTAGCAAATTGAACAACTGAAAGGAAATAAGTTAATGAGAGATCACCAACCTTGCATCCCAAAGAACAGAAACGAAAAGGGTCCAAGAGATTCCTTTTGCAAATTTCACACAAATGGGAGTTGCTTTTTCCACTACCAACCACATTATTGGTTTTTGGTTGATTCTGAGGCCTCTCGTTCAGGAAAAGAACTCTAGCACTGTTTATCACATATGTTTGAACTCCACTGATATCCAAAACCTTCTGAATCTCTGCTACCCGCACAACATCATGATACGACGACCTCCTTATCTGCATTACACTTGCAACTAAAAATATTCAATCCTCCTCATTCAGTCAATTCCATCACTATAACATTCAAATTCTCCTAATCTAATTCTACAAAAGTCCATGTTATGTATATATGCAAAGATTGATATTTGAGAAATAAACATTGTCTGCTAGACACATTGTGAGGACTAATCCCTTTTGCTAGAATCAACCCTGGTGTTATTATGTTTGAAAAACTATACTATATACAATGAATAATACAAAGTAAAATACAATACCCACTTGAATTACTTGATGATCCTTATGCCAAGATTGTTTGCAATAGAAACAAAATGCTTGGTCCTTGCAATCGAGGCAATACATGTTGCATTCGTTTCTGGGTGTGTTGATGTGAGTTTCGCACATGGTGAAGAATGTGGTGGACAACAGTTGTTCCAGCCATGGCGGAGGCACCAACATCAGTTCCTGGTGAGAAACAAACACAAGCACTGTAAGAGTATGAAAAGCAAAATGTAGTGGACAAAAGAAAACAGGTGTATAAGCTTAAACAATACCATTGTTGTGGAGGTTGATTGTTATAAGGTGTAAGTAACGTAGGGTTGGAGATTAATTGTAGCAGAAAGTGAGGAACACAGAGAGAGGGGAAAGAGGGAAGATGAGAGGGTAACATAAGATTTGTCAACAAAACAATGGATGAAGAAGTAAAGGACAAAGCGAGTGTGTTGAATATTATAAGGTGGCATGGACGGTTCAGATGCAAGGATGGTAGGTCAAGTGGGTTTTGGAGCGTTGGATTGGAAGAGATTATGTGATTGTTGTGGGTACATTCTTCTGTTTGGACGGGTTGGTTACGTTACAGCTACCACCATTCAAAAATTTTCATTTAGCTTTTCTTAAATATGGCTATATTTTGAAAATTGTAAAAATCTAAACAATTTTATACATTATATTTGTGGCAAATGTTGGGGCACGAAATTAAAAGGAAATTTTTTTAGGAAAATAATTTCATTTTTTATAATTTTTTTAATTTCCTTTCGTATAATTTTCAATAAAGAAATTGTTTTTAATTCTTAAACATTCTATATACTTATAAGTACAAGTGTTTTTTTTTTTTCTAATAAATACTTATTTCGTTTCCTTTTTACATATGTCATATTATTAAAGAATATAAGGAATATCCTTAACTGATTGAAAGTGTATATTAATTTTTTACTTACTATCTCTTTTCTTTTTCGTGGTTATTAACTTAAATAATATTTGTTAACTATCTATGCAAATATATAATCGATAAAGTATAATTTATATTATCTTAAATTTTGAAATGTGATAAATACAAATAATATATTTTTTTTAATTATGATTGATAAAATGTAAGATAAAGATAATGAGAATGATTTGTTTATTGGTTAAAAATAATTTTCCGATTTGTTTTACAAATTAAAGATTTATTTGATAATTATTTTTTAGAATAGTTGTTTTTATATTTTAATTTTTAAAATATAAAAAATAACTAATAAAAGTATATTTTTTTATATTAATAATTTCACTAGTCTATATGGAAATCTTCTTATGATTAACTTTTGCCTTAAAAATATTTAAACCAAAACTATTTTTAAAACCTAAAAATTAAAACTAAATTAAACGTATCCTAACAATAAAATTTCGCTCCAGAGTGTATGGTTGAACATGCGGAGAACTAACTTCTTTCACTGCACTAAATCTTATTAATATATTTATTGCATTTTTTATTTACTTCCATTTACACAATAAAAGGTCAATACTTTTCTCAGTCATTGCCAACTCTACAATCACTAGAAACTTTTTTTTTTTTACATTTTTTTTCACATTAAGATATTTTCTCTGCTCTCAAATATATAAATAAAAAACAAACCCATTAATTAAAAAAAAACTGATATAATTTAAGGTAAATATTTTATGATGACATACAGAAGAATTTTTAAGTAGCATTCGAAGTCAGAAAATATTTTATAATAAATATATTTTTTTAGAGAAAAATAAGTTATTGCATGATGTAGTACAAAAATAGGAAAAGAAAACAGTGTGGATAATAGCGTTGGTTGAAATTATGAGTTGCGTGTGGTTTGAGGAGGCGACAAGTAAAAGTGTCCATAATTTAAGAAAATTTAAGAATGTGCACGACACAATCATATGATCTGACGGCAGTTTTACAGTTATCTTTTGTGAAAAAGTTTATGACTTTAGTAGACATTACCTGTAGTACATTTGTTTATATTATAACCCAATGTTTCAACAATTTATCTAACATTTGCTCTTAGTCACATGTTATAAAATATTAGCTAATTAAAACAAAATTAAATAGATAAATTAATAAAATAAAAAATTTTAATTGCTTTTGTATACATAAAAATATAAAATAATTTTTAATTAATTTATCTTTTTATCTTATATTTTTCTGTTTTTTTATATGTTAATAATAATAATAATGATGTCATCTTATTCTAAGATAATATAATTTATTTATTTATTATTTACTAAAAAATGTTTTTATTTTATTTTATTGTTGTTATATTATTATAAATAAATACAATTGTTATATTATTTTGTTTTTTTATTATTATGATATTTTGATTATATTTTTTATTATTTTTTAATATACAGAATTATAAGTATGTAAAGATTATAGAATAATAATAATAATTAAGAGAGAAAAAATCAATTAACTAATAATAAAAAAATAATTAATACTCTTACATTTAATTATATTATAACCAAAGTTTCAATTGGCTTATGCCATTAATTTAAACACTTTTGGTGGGTGAAATTTTTGTGTTTGCCATAATGTCGATTCAATTGTTCATTGTTGACTATTTGTTTCTGAATTGACTATTTGAAACGTTCAAAATTCAACTATGGATAAGATGAGAAGATTTTTTTATTATATATATATCATAATACAGAGTTTCTTTTGAAAATTAACACAATTTTATGATTTTAAAATATATGGTTTAAAATATGGTTATAATGATAAAATATAGATTTATGAAAAAAGGGATAAAAGTAAAATACGATATAAAGATTTAGAAAATGATAATTCCTTTGTTCATTGCTTTTAATTTTATTTTTAATTTTAAAAAATTATTTCATATTTATCTTATTAAAATAATTTGTATTTTTTAAGTTCAAAAATATATTCTGTTTATTTTTTTCATTAATAGATAATAATGTTTATATTAATAATTACATATTTTTATCATCATAAAATTATCAAAACTGTTTTTAACTTTCATCATAATTTTTTATGTTTATCTATATTTTTTTCATATAAAATAATTTTATAAAATAAAGTTATTAAATAATTTTTTGACACTTTGATTTTAATATACTTTTATCCGCTGTAATAGTCAAATTTATCCATCAATTAGATGTTTGCTCCAAGTATTTATTTTTCAATAATTTATTTAATGTTTCTTAATCATTAACTCTATGTTCTCGAAATACTAACTCCATTGGTGTCATTATGTTATTTGAAAATAGGTCATTAGTATCATATAAGATAGTAGTAATCTATTAGTAGTGTACATAATTAAAGTAACTTTTGGGAAAGCAAGAGTTAAATTAACCAAAACTAAACCCAATTGAATCTAACAAAATCAAATCACATCACATCAGTGTTAATAAATACTCAGTTTTGTTACATTTCAAATAAAAAAATTTGAAAATTATTTATTATTTTACAAAATTAATAATACATTAAAATTGACACTACAATAACATTAATATCAAACCGAATAGAGAAAATTTTATAAGGATATACATGAGTTAAGTTATATTTAATTAATTTTGTTACTCAAGAAAATCAAAATATTTTCATGTTTAGTTGAGTTTATGTTCTTTTTATCCAAATACAAACACTAATCAAGGTGGGTTGAGTAAAGAAAATTCAGTACAGTTGTGATGAATCCGGCCCAATACTGTTCATAACAAGCCCAACAATACAACAATATGTGTGCATCTCTGATTTGTTGGTGAATATTAATGGCAACAACTGGGTCTAGAAGAATTTTGAGTAATCATGAGCTTCGGCAAATGATTATGAAGTTTTACTTTCTCTTTGGAATTATAATATTAACTTTCTATTGTATTAAATTAAATTAAATTTTAATTTTTTTAATTTTTTATATCGTCATTCTTAATTCTTAGGATATTATGTAGTAATGCACGTGATTTTGTTTCATTGTGATCATCGTCAATGATTTCGATGGTTTACCACATCCCTGTTAAGTAAAAGCAATTAATAATTGACGCATAAACCAAAGTGGCACTCCCTTTCCAAACAACTAATTTCTTTTCTCTTCCTTTTCAAACTTCAATTGCGTGCTTGTTATGATTGGACTAAATAAATTATTGGACTCGATCTTCGCATGGCCCACTTAGGTGAGCCTAGCCGTTCACATTGTATCTTCTACAACATTTTTTTTATTTTTTATTTTTTATTTTTATCTTTCTCCATTATTGTATTTTGTTGTAAAAAAATCATACGCATACAAAAACTAGTTTTTGCTATTATTCTCGTTAAATAGAAACCGATAAAAGCATAAAGTGGGTGGCCAAAGCACGTTTTGAAATTCTGGAAATAAATTCATATAAAAAGCAATATTCGTATTCTGAAAGAAAGAATAGCTTTCATAGGTTTTTATATATGTAACTAAATAGTCAAAACCTCTTTAGTTTTAAACCAATTATCATTTTAAATAAAAAAATTAACTTTATTTTTCATTATGTAAATAGTTTTTTAAAAAACTTTATGACAAATTATACCTTCAATCATAAGATAAATCAAATACTAACAAAATCTATTTTAGTGACTCAAATTAGTCAATAAATTTCGGTTAAAATATGTCCACTATAATTTTTCTGATAATTGAATTTCGGTAAAATTAAATATTTTTCTTAGCTGTATTATTTTTAAAATTTTATCATTACTTTTTATAAGCCATTAAGAAAAACGAAAATAATATTATTGAAGAAATAACTTAGACCCATATTTTAAAACTAAATATATTTCTTAACCTTTTAGTTTTAATACAAACTATTTAAACAAAATTTTCAACTGAGTCAATGAACAACATTTATTCCATATATCCGTGATTATATGACATTGTTTTAAAATTTATTTCTTTCTTTTGAGATTTTTTTAATGGTTATTTTAATTATTATTTTTTACTGAAACATCTTTAGTTATTTTAGTGATGGACCATGAATTGTCCCTTTCTCTCTGTGAAGATGAAAGACTTGAAGAATCAGTTTGAAAAAATAAATTGAACTACTATTATCTCTCAATATACGGATAATTTTGAAAAAAATAAAAAATCATAATTGTAAATAAATTTAATGATATTTGTTAATGTGCAACATGATTTAAAGGTGATAAAATAGGTCACTATCATGTTAGTCCACCAAAGTTAGGTTGGGTTAGGAAGATTCCAATTAAAATGACTTAGGAACTTTAGTTCATTTCAATTAAAAGTGGGTTGAGAAATCTTGTATTAGTACAAAGAAAAATAATCTTTTAATCTTATAAAATTAATATAAATTGTTTTTTTATTCAAAATTCTAAAGTATATTAATAATTTAGTCTAAAACTTTGTTAAGTACAAGAATAATAATATTGGTTCAAGAACTTTGTTAAAAACACAAGTATTAGAATATGTAAAAGTAAAATACTAGTATGGAGAATACTGAAACAAACTTATAAAAATGATAATATCAAATTCAAGTTTAAAATAAATAATTAAAATATTGAATTTAAAATTAGGTTTTAACCAATTTTAAATAATAACTAGATTTAGTTTTGAGTGAGTAATTCTCAAACAAATGAATTCTCTCGTTCAAACCTTTTGTTTCAGTCAGCAGAAAATTCATACAGAGAACACAGACTCGAATGGATATGCTAATTGCATAATAAGGTAATGATAACTTAGATACCCAGTTACATCATATTCGAATTTCATGCAAATAATTAACACTCGATTTGAATGCTACATCATCAATTAATAATGATTCATTAGGGTTAATGATAAAAAAACTTGTAAAAAGTTGAGAAATGTAAAACCTACACCAGATTTTATTATTGCATATTTATTATCATATATATATATATATATATATATTTTAAAACGTTTTATTAGGAGATTCTATCCTAATTTATTTTATATTTAAAATGACATAATTAGTTTCAAATGTTGGATTCACTTAATTAAACATATATTCGAAGTTAAGAGACCCTTTATTGTATCATTATTTGTGATTGAATGAATTACTTTAAATAGAGCCCATACTTATTTATGTGAGAAAGTAGTTCGTTTGTGAAATAAAGTAAAAAAGAGCTTAATTTGGAGGATCCTTTTAGAGAATGTCCTCGTCAAGATCATATTTTTAGGGTATTTTTTTTAATAATTCCATGTCCTGATCATGAACCTACCCAAAATTCCATACAATGTTGGCAAAATGTCGATGAAGTTCAATATTTTAGTCTGATTTTGACTTGAAAATAAGTTATTTTCTATATTAGAAACCTTCCAATAATTCTCTATATCCCAACTTTGTCAACTGTTATAAAATAAAGTTCACCATTTTAATTTGAAAAGCTCACTTTCTGCACTAATAACAAAATAGCAAGACTTTCTAAACATTGTAACAAAATCAGTATGCAATTTTTTTATATATATTAAATACTTTATCCCTCTCATAATAGTAAATATCCTTCAATTTTTTTTATTTTTTTTTACAACAGACTAAAAAAAGTCAACAAATTTATAATAAATTTCATATCATTTTTTTTTCTTCATTCTCTCATCACATTTATTACTTCCAACATGTTCCTCCCTTCCATAAAACCCAAAAATGAGGTTTCCTCGCATTCTCTTTTTTCTAACTCAATCTCATAAATATCCTCTTAATGGCCCCACAAAAACTTGCAGTTACACTCTCGCGATCTTGTTTCAGAAGAACACAGTGTAACCTTGCTTGTAAGAATAGCATAGTTTTACCTGGAAAAGAGTGAAGGCCCTTATGTTGTTGATGTTGTTGTATGTACCATTTTTGAGATTTAACCCGCTTTTAATCTTGGTGCATACGTAGGACTCTTAAACCTTCTGTTTTCTGTTGAAGATAGACGCTGACATGACAAAACACGCTTCTTTCTTCCAAATCAATCCTCTTAGACTCACCACTTAGACAATATAAATATATTGCCGTATCCTTTGCTTCACTTCACTCTTTCTCTGCCTCTCTTCCCTTGTTTTGCTTCCTTTTCTTTTCTTCAAATGGAAAAAGTCCCTCGTTTACTATCCATTTTCCTGTTCATAGCTTTGCTGTTTCATGGGGGAAAGGTGTTAGCTTTCAAAACCCAAGATGGATCAGAGGAATGGGGATACGTTCAAGTTAGACCTAGTAAGCCACTGCTTCACAAATTTGTAATTTTAATTCATTGGGACATACAAACAAAATGATAACACACTACAGTTTTTTTTTTTTGGGCTTTCATGTTTTTGTTGGTGATATGGGTCGTGTGATTCATGTAGTGGACCTACTTTTGGAATAAGGTTGTTGTTGTTGTTTAGAGTATGTGGAAAAGGAATTTAGAGTCAAATTGATCTAATAGTCGCAATTTTTTTTTGCCTTGTTGTGTTTTTACTGTCATCACAGAAGCACACATGTTTTGGTGGCTTTACAGAAGTCCCTATAGAGTGGAAGATCCCTCCAAGCCATGGCCACTTGTTCTCTGGTTGCAAGGAGGACCTGTAAGTGTTACTGAATTAGGTTGTGTGATATGAACAAAAACATGAGCAAGCCATGACTTGAGGTTTTCAAACATTGTGCAGGGTGCTTCAGGAGTTGGGATTGGAAATTTTGAGGAGGTTGGGCCTTTGGACACAGACTTGAAGCCACGGAATTCCACATGGTTGAAAAAAGCAGATCTCTTGTTTGTGGTAATAACCTTGAAAAGAGTTTCTTTGAACTTGTTTTACTTTGTGGGTCTCAATTATGATAGCTCAATCGAATGCTTCTGATGTTGTGAATAATATAGGACAATCCAGTTGGAACCGGGTACAGTTTTGTGGAGGACAAAAAACTCTTTGTCAAAACAGATAATGAAGCGGCCACCGACTTGACTACATTGCTGATTGAATTGTTCAATGGGAATGAGAAACTGCAGAAGAGTCCTCTGTTCATAGTGGCAGAGTCATATGGTGGCAAATTTGCTGTCACTCTCGGGTTATCTGCTCTGAAAGCTATAGAAGATGGGAAATTGAAGCTTAGTCTTGGAGGTAATCCTCTCTTGAATTGTATGCATCCGTCAGATTCTAGGTTGGTGTTTTTGGATGAACCTAAAGATTCGCTAAACAGGAGTTAAAGGACCAATATCTCAATATAATAAAATTTATTCAAGGAACTAATCTCTTTCAATGTATGCTTTTTCACATACATGAGTTTGAGAATCAAAATCTCTGATCATATACATAAGGAGAAAGGTTTATTTAACAGGTTTACAGCACACTATGTTGGTAAATTTATCTTCTTCAATTTATGATGATTGAAAACAATTTTGACTGATTAATGGGGTTAAGTGGTTAATTTCTCTTTTGTTAGTTAGGAAATGTATCAAATGATGAATCGTTTATGAATAATTTTAGAACAAAAGAAGTCCAAGAAAATCATGATTTGGGGTAACTTTTTTCCTTGAGTAGGTGTAGCATTAGGAGACAGTTGGATCTCCCCTGAAGATTTTGTGGTACGTAATAAATAGAATTAATCTGTTCACCAGTTTTTGTTGAACTTTGAAAATTTTCAATATTGAATTCAATATTGCAGTTCTCATGGGGTCCTCTCCTTAAAGACCTCTCACGGCTTGACGATGGTGGACTGCAAAAATCAAACAGGTAAAATCTGTTTTCCATCTTCTCAAGTAGAAATAAAATGCGCTACACTGCTAATCAAAGAACTAAAGTAACATTCTATGAAATGGTCATTTTCTGTGTTATCTAACAAACCCATTTTAGAGATCAGTATAGCTGAGAGGATCAAGCAGCAAATTGAGGATGGTAAATTTGTTGAAGCCACCGACTCATGGAGTGAACTTGAGTCTGTGATTTCCGTCAGCAGCAACCATGTGGTATGCCATGATATCTTCTTTCAACATTTTATTCATCCCTTAATACCTTTTCTAACCCACATTGTGCTATAATCTTTGCTTACCACTACTCCTAAGAAGTCCTATAACTTTTTGTTCACTTCAGGACTTCTACAATTTATTGGAGGATGCAGGAAGTGATGATGTTGTAACATTGGAGTTGGGGTTATACAAAAAAGTATCAATGAAGAGGTACTCCAGGTATCTCAGTTCCTTGAGGTCAAGGTCAATATCTCCTGGTGGAGATGATGATCTTGACAAGTTACTGAACGGAGTCATAAAGAAAAAGTTAAAGATCATCCCTGAGAATGTCACGTATGTCTTTAATTCTTTGACAACAAAAGGGTACTCCCAATTTCACTGCAAACCAATCAAATGGTCACTCACTTAGCTTCTGTGCTAACAGATGGGGAGGGCAATCTGGTGATGTTTTCGATAACCTTGCAGGTGATTTTATGAAACCAAGAATTGATGAGGTAAGAAGAAAATATAAGTGTTGAAACTAGGTCAGATCAATGGTTTTAACCTTCAATTTTAATGGATGTTATATTGATCACAATCATATCCTAAATAGTCCATCTGAGCATAATTTTCCCATGGTTTTGGGTAATTTTTCCTTTTCCTTTTCGAGTATTTGATGTTCTTTATATTCTTTTTTCCAGGTTGATGACCTGCTGGCAAAAGGGGTCAATGTGACAGTGTACAATGGACAAGTAAGGTCCCTTTTCCACAACTTTCATTGTTAGTTTCTATGATCATTATTGACAAGAATTGATGATATTTATGATTGTATGTATATAATATAGGCCACCCCAATTATTTTATTCAAGAAGTGGCCTAGTTTCCAAATGAATCAGATTGTTGTATTTGATTGGTTTGGAGACTTTGTTTTATCCTTCCAAATGATCTCTTACTTTTTTATGTTTGACACAAGGTAACATCATATATTCTGTCTGATTATTACAGATTGATCTGATTTGTTCAACCAAAGGGACTGATGCTTGGGTTCATAAACTGAAGTATATGCATCTCTTTCTCTCCTAATTTTTGCATCAAGATTGCTGAGATTGAAAGCAAAAGTCAAGGTTTTTTAATGTAATTATGATTTTTTCATTATAGGTGGGAAGGGCTTAAAAATTTCTTGGCAAAAGATAGAACACCCCTCTACTGTGGAAGTGACAAATCAAAAACGAAAGGCTTTGTTAGATCACATAAAAATCTATACTTCTATTGGATCCTCAAAGCTGGCCATTTTGTAAGTCATCTACACTGCATACTTTTTCATCAATATTTCTTCAAAATTAGTTTTCAAAGAACTTATCGTAAGATAACTTCTATAATTTATTGTTTGATAACTTATACAGACATTAATTTTAACTTGAAGATTTTTTTTTTTTTCATTTTCTTCTTTTAAAAGTTATTTTAGAAAATTTATCCAAACAAACTATTTTTTCTTGCTTTATGTGATTGACTCAAACATCCAATATAAAATAATACTACTTGGAGGTTTTTTTTTTTTTTAGTTTTTGTAGTTTCTTCATGTAATAGTTTTTTTTTTATACTTCTATTCATGTTGGTCTTCATTATGAAGACATCATTAATTCTTAAAGAACCCAACATTAGTGGAAATGATATGACAAATTAATAATATAAAGAAACTAACTAAAAAGATTAAAATCCAATTCCTAGTAATATTAAAGGTTCACTTTGATATTCACTACCAAAAAAAATTAGAATGTCATGTTTAAAAGTGGAATTTATAGGAATTATTAGTTTATTTTAGCCAGAGATATATACATATAATCAAAGCAAAATTAGTGAAGCTTGCTAGTGAATGTGTCATGTTTTTTAGGGTTTATTTGGAAATGTGAAAGAACTCTAATTTACTTTAAGAATGTGTTTCTTGCTTCCTATGCTTTTAATGTGTATCATCTCTTTGGATCTCCCAATTTATTTTTTGTTTTTAAGAATAATGGTAATGATATTTTGAAGACTTAATTTTTATATATAATCAGTGGAGAACTTTATAATGATATTTATAATAATAAAAATATAGCTTACACAATTATTATTATTATTATTATAAAAGATTGTGGTTATATATATATATATATATATATATATATATATATATATATATATATATATATATATATATATATATATATATATATATATATGAAAAAGTTTATGGAAAAGGTTTCATATGTAGCTGTGAACACAATAAATTTTCTTTCCAAGATTCCATGATTCTTCTTTCTTTATCTTGAAAAGATTTCAATGAGTTTTCATGTGTGATTCCAGCAAATTTAAATATTCTCTTCCTTATGCTTTTGCTTTTTTAAAACAACCTCATTAAATAATAAACTCATATTTGCTAATAGTGTCCCTTTTACTTCATTTGTCTTAATTATTAAAAAAACATTAAAATATTTTTAAACTCTTAAAATTTGAAAATATATTTCATTACTAGTGTAATCATCAAAGTTTTATATTATTTTATTTGTTCTTTTTTAAGGAGTGTAGCCATCAAAGATAAATATACTGATTTAATAAGGATATTTTAGTTCTAATATAATAACATTTTACTTTCATTAAATTTAACATAATCCATATGCATTAAAATTCAACATCTAAATATACAATAAAGAGATATTAATAATTATTATAAAATCCAAAAAATTGATTATATCTAATCCGTAAATGAAAGGAAGGTTATAAATTGGAAACTAAAATTTTCAGAGAGTAAAAAAAAGGTATCCTTCAAACTTTAGGGCAGGGAAGAGTAAGGAACTGAAAAGAAAACAACCCATGAAATGTTAAAGATACGATTAAATTTGAAGATTTTTTTATTACAACATTTGTGGGAAACATTATCTGATGTTTGATTTCAAGAAAAAAATAAAAAATAAATAAAAACAATGTAACTGTTTATGTAAGGAAAAATTAAGATAAAAAATTTATCATTTCTAAACACATTAAATAAATAAATATCCAGTAATTATAAAATTATAATTTTTTATATATTTACTTTATTTTAAATGAAAAATACAACATATTGAAGCAGTGAAAAGTGATATTTTACTAATATTAATCTTTCCAGTTCTGTTTTTTACTTTATAGTTTGTCTTCAAATAAAATATCTCAATAAATATGCCATTGTTATAACACTGTGTCTTCTGGAAGAAAAAAAAATCAGACATGTTTGCTTATTGGTTCAGGTACCCACTGATCAACCATGTGTGGCTCTAGACATGGTGGGTGCAATTACACAGTCACCTGCCACTTGACATTTTCATAGAAAATAAAAGAATAATAATATTACTGTTTGGAAGATGGAGCAGTGTACAAGAAAGAGACAACAACACAACCAAACTAGAACAGGATCAAGCATTGAATTGTAATAATAGTAAAAAAAAAAACTCATTACATTGATGCTATTGATTGTTAATTTGTTTTACCATCTCAATTTTTTTCCTAGTATCACTTATAAGCTACCTAATTAATTTAATTTATGCTAATAATTTTAAAATAATTTATCCGTGTTATTATCATTTCTCTCTCTTTTTTAAATGTAATGGGTGGAAAAACATTTTACTGATTTTAATTAATAATATTTTAAGCTAAAAAACAATTATTACATGAATTGTATTTATAAATTTTATGATGAGTATAATTTTCGTGGAGTTAAGTATATTATTATTTTTAAGATGATATTAAAGTCAGTTTTAGAGTTATTGAGATAATATAATTATTAATAGTAGTAGATTTAATCATTCATTATTAAATTAATATTGAACATGTGAGGATGATAATATAATAATATTTTTGTGATTATAATCATCATTATAGAGTTAGATATTTATTTTAACGATTAATTTTTTGAAAAAAAAATATTTTTAGTTAAAGTGTTGATGTTTTGGAAAATAATTAATTCTTACTTAATGAGATGTATAAACTCATTCATGAAAAAACAAAAAAAAGACATGTAAGAATAGTAAATAAATGTAATAAATAGAATGAAGATTAAAAAAATGTAAAAGCTTTAATTTTTAGTAAATAATATATATAAAATATATATTTATGTGGACGAAGATAGTATGATTTTTTTTACGAATTTGGTGTAATATTTTTTTAAAATTATTAAAATAAATATTTTTTTTAAATTGGGTAAGTCATGTTATCAAACATAATTTTAAAATAAAAAAATTATGTTTGATGAGATGATTTTAATTTTTTGTGATTTTTTTAAACTTTACATATTTTAATAAATTTTAAAAAAATTACACGAAAGTAAAAAAAACGAGATAGGACAGAAAGAGGGAAAGCAATAGCCTTTAAATATTTTTGTTTTTAAGTAATACATTCTTCTTCTTTTTTCCTTACCAAAAAAATATGAACTTTAAAGATGTGAGGTAATGTTATACTTTACCAATATCCATGAGAGTAGAGAAACCTATTGCAAATACTTAATGAAGGTTTCACTTTGAAGCATTGGAATTTTGAAGCTTGGGTTTTAGATTGATGAAAAGCTGAAAGGAACTGGACACAGCTATCCTATCTAACATCTACAAATTCCAAAACCAAGACAAAGGTTTCTCTAGTAAGGGACATATACTCAGGACCACTACCATGATATTTTGTTATCTTTCTTGTAAGAACTATCTCCAAAAAAGAATAAGTACTCTAAAAATTATAATAAAGATATAGATAAAGTTCCAAAATTTGGGAGCTTTATGCAAAGTCATGCAGATTACCCGATTCAACACTCTTCAAAACACAGATTTTAATTTTTGGATCAAGCACATTCAATAAATATGCATCATCTTTTCAAAGCAAGCTAGGTCACACTTAGTAAAATGACAAACTCTATTGAAGGTTGTTTAAATGTTGTGTACGGAGTGATCTTTTGCGTCCATGATTAGCTATCTCACCAATCTCGTGGCATTAATCCATTCCTTTTCAATTGGTGTTTTTTTTTTTTTAATTGATTGTTATTTCATAATATCAATGAATAGTTAATTTTTTTTTGGTAGATTGATTAGCGACTACCATTTTCAGAATACTCCAAGATGTCCACCTTCATCAGGATCTTCTTAGGAGTTGAGGGACCGTGGCTTCCCAAAATTTTATGAACTTCCATGTAATTAATGATTTTGATTTCCGAAACATAATGAGTATTTAATATATTTACTTGTATATTTACAATTTTATCCTCTCGGCTTCTTCTCAGTTTTTTAACTTTCATATAATTTATGATTTGGTTTCCTCAAACTTAATGATAATTGAATATATTTAAGTATATATCTACAATTTTATTTTTTTTAACCTTTCATATTCTTTCTTTTATATTTATTATTTATTAATAATATATTATTTAACCCGATCAAGACCAGCGATTGACGTTCATCACAGAAGAGCAATTTTTACTCCCGGGGTTTTTAATCTAAGTTGCATATTATTTAGTGATAAGAGGTTATTGATTTTTTAGGTATATTCAGGACTGGACTTCTATAATTTTCTAGGTGAACTAGGACTATATCAGGACTATCGTGTTTTATTATAATTTATGGCAACAGATTCTTTACGAAAACATGTAGAAATTTCCATGATAAACTAACTCTGACAAAAATTTACAAAGTTCGGACCTATTTTTTTTGCGGGTACTTACATCCAAAATACAAAAAATAAATAAATTAGACTATTTTATTATATTAGTATAATAATAAATTAATGGATGAATATTTGGATTGTGAATGAAACATTTCTCATTTTTCTTACAGGTCAGAATATATAATATATATCCCGACATGTGTATGTAATATATTTTTGTACGTAGTTATAAATATATAATTATATTTATAAAAATCTTTATAAATAAAAATTATTGAAAATTCAAGGAAAAGGAAAAAAGTTGCGTAAATAAATTGGCATTGGTTTGGTCTTTATAAGTTTTTGTTGAAAATGATTTATTATGGAAAAAGAAAAATTGAAAATATGTAACAGAGATGTTTGAGACAAGTGATTGTGAAGAAGATACGAACCATGCGACTGTAAGAATTGGAAGTCGTGCAGTGCCCCAATTATGTAATATACTAGTATCACTCTCGTGCAACGCATGGGACTCTGATGAAAATAAAATATTTTATTAATTATTAATAAAGAAGTTAAATCAATGTATGTTATAAAATATAATGATCTGTAGAACATAATATTTAGTAAACGTGGGTACTTAATAGGCGTAGTACTCAATCAATAAATAAATAAATAAATAAGCAATGGTACAGCAGCTAATAGGTGAAAGCATCGAATATTGGCCAGGTGCAACCCCAAATGCAAGGAATAATAAAGAGGAATAGAGGTGATCACTTGCTCTTACATCGAATTTAGGCTTTTGTGCAACATCCTTTGTCTTTATCTATTACTGGTTTATACTTGATAAGATCCTTTCAGAACAGTAGTGTGTAAGTTTATGTCCTTTGCGCAACCAAGGAAATTGAAGTTAGCAGCATAAGTTTATGTCTTTGTCCCTTTCGTTCTGTGGCCTATGGACCACTGATTCATCTGTGCTTATCTTTTGTTCCTTTTCACTATGTGTGTGGCAAAATTTATTGAAGAAGAATAGAACACCCATCTATTGTTAAGATGACAAGACCACCTTGGAATTAGAGATTGTCTCCTCTGTGCGAGTGGGGTGCGTTTATATTTTCACTGCTTATTTAATTTTGCATGCATAATTTTAATCAGCCCTGTTTCGCATATTAACATGAGTGGGCACAATCATACTAGAGCAAACTAGAGTCAACAAGCAAACTAGAGCAGGATAAAGCAGAGAAAAGAAAGACATATTTTTTCTGATGGACAGGTGGAGAGTGGTGATTTACTCAACACTTATCCTAAAAAATATTGATAAGATATCATAATCACTTTTTTCATATTTATTTATTATGTATTAATAATATATTATTACCTATTTGTTGATTTGAACATCATGAAATTTAACCCATATCCTATTCACTGGTATAGTTATGTTGGCTTTTATATTTAATTGATTATTTTATCTCTATTTACACCATTTTTACCTTTTTAGTTTGTATATCTAAAAATTAATATTTTAGTTCTTCGAGATGGACCTTTAAGTTCATTTTAGTCTTGGAAGACAAGTGTCTTAAGCCGTCACAATTTTTATTGCAATTGTTAAACTGTTACGAAATTTGTTACTAAAGAGACCAAGCAGTAATTTTGTTACAACTTAATAGAATCAAAACAAGAATAAAAATGCATACCTAAATAGAGAAAAACTGAATTGTTGTCTTCCTTAACTTTTCTCTCTCTAAACAGTCCCCTTTTCTCTCCAATTCTCGTGCGTCTTGTAGCCATTCTTGAGAATCTAACATTCACATCCTAACTTGAAATAGTTGGCCATAGGTAAAGACCGGATAATAAGGGAGAAGACCACCAATTCAATGGATATTACTTCGTTATTTGGTAACTAAAGTTTATACTACGGACCCAAATATAAGGAGGTCCAAAATATAATAATGACCACGAATGGATGCTCTCATGTTGTGCTTCTATATCATCAGTACATCAAATCTTCATAGGCATTAATCAGGGCACTGTTAAAACTTGTGAATAATTAGAAAGAAAATTATGTTACAAAATTTTGTATGACAATTCATTCAGATCACGTTCAACTAAAATAGGAATTTGTGTAAATTGTGCGCCTCTGTTAGAAGAGGATGAGGATAATCTAGAAGAGAGGGTGGCGATCAGTTACCCAGAGATACGTGAAAAAAAATAAAAAAAAAATAAAAAATATAATATATATATATATATATATATATATATATATATATATATATATATGAAAGTGAAATTATAGTACAATTACAGCTTATTTTCAAAGGATATCTACAAGACACCAAAGCACAGATTTGGAAAATACTCCATAATTAATAGGGCATCAAATGCCAAGCAATATACAATACCTTTATACGGAGCTCTGCCAAAAATGAAAGATAAAGGGGAAAAGGAGCAGAAGATTCTATATGCCTGACTTGCACAATGAAAGACAGCTATTCATTCAATCTTTTCCAGTATATCCAACCTGGTTTTCCTCTTCCAACCTTTCATAGTGGCAACAAGGTTGATCAGTCCAATAATCTGGCTTTTACTGTATTCCTGAAAGAGTTGGAATGCTTAGTTAAAACCTCAGGGCAATCAGATGTATAACTATACTATGGAAGGGTATGCTTACCGGGTGTGCTCGTGCCCAGTGCACATACTCTGTCTCGGGAAGGTAGTATGCCTGGTATTAAAGTCTATTAGTAATAAAATGCACAATGCATACGATGGAAGTTACAAAGATGTGAGATCCCAACTAATTTATACCACAGGTAAGCAACAAAATCCAACTAATTATGCGGACAAATTCATCGGTATATGCAAACAAAATAGCGAGAACGGGTTTTTCCATGTCCTTCGTTGTTACCTTGATGAAAGTTTCAACCATTTGTAGCTTGGGTTTCACATTCAGCGACACAAAATGCTGTAGTCCATTAATCAAAACCTGGAAAATGTAAAGACAAATTCAAATCCAGCATATAAAAACTAAAAGAGAGTGAAGGACGAGGGTAAGAAAGTTGATCAATTTATTGATCATTGTCAACAACTCTGCTACAAAAGAATTCGTATTTGTCCCATAACAAATTTGACACTTTTAAGATTCAATTGTCAGTAAGGTTTGAAAATAAAATTCTGTTAAAAACCAGAACGTGGAAAAATAATTTAAATAAGATAAAATGACCAAATTGATACTTTAACGTGTATATTTTTTCTAATTTATCTTGAACGTTAATAGATAAATAATTTTTAACTTTCATATTCATTTTTTATTTCAAATATGCCTTTACATATTATTATTAAAATATAATTTAGTCCATATATGTAAAAACTAAATTGTATTTTAATAATAATATATAAGGACATGTTTAAAATAACAAATATAAAAGATATATTTTATTTTCAAAGATTATTTATTTATTAACGTTGAAGGCCAAACTAGAAAAAATATACATTTTAAAGAACCCAAAAGACTATTCAAACTTTAAACAATGGTAAAACTTGTCTGTACATAATTTAATAGTTTATTAAGATTAAATTAAGTTTGCCATAACTATTAATAAAATAATAATCCACTATATGAAATCAAATCCAAACAAACTACTGAAAGCACTTAAAATTGATCATATATTCAGGAATAACCTGAAGATCTAACGACATAAGAGCTCGTCCTTCATCACTACATCTCTTCACCCTTGAAAGTCCTTCAACAAGAGTTTCTGCCACAATTTCAAGCCCATAATCCAATAATAGGTCTTGAATCTACGCATACAGAAGCAGGATTTGTGGATTAAATAATTTTCTATATTTTATTCTTTTCAACGATTTCAAAATCGAAATTTCAAATATAAGTGTGTATTCACGTAATAAGTTGATTTGCGTGCACTTGATAACTGTGTCTCAAGATAATGAGTAACAACAATACCTCTTTACGAATTCCTCCATGAGTAAGTCTTGTTTTATAGTGCTTAAACTCCCCCAGCAACAAATCAACATATCTATGAATACAATCTACAAGTCAGAAGCACAGAAAGGATACAGCATATTTCCAAAATAAAAATTCTGACAAAAAAAAAGAAACATTTACCTTTACAGCCTATATTTATCTTTGCAGCTAAATAACACTATGAACAAAATCCAAATTCTCAAAGAAATGACAACATAATCTTCCATTGACCTCTCAATCCTGATGGTTTTACCTTTTTAATCTCTTTCTACCCTCAATGATAGGAATACCCTCCATTTGATTTATTCCCCTTACTACGGATTTATAGGTTTTCTCCACACAAGCACGAAAGTCAATACCCTACCATTTTCTATTTTACAAGGTGCTACCTCAACTTTTCTCAAATGCATTTGTTACATCCAACACAGAATTATATCCATCATTGATGTTATTCTCTTATTGACATATTATCTTCCAACACAGTTTGATATAAAATAGCAAGTCTTACAGCTGTACAGTTAATTTTCTCCATGAGCTTGAGCGATACCTTTTGTCACTGATGGTAATGGGAATGGGAAAGAAAAGAAAGATTTTAATGAATGAAATGAGAAGAACATGAAATAAGAGAAAATCTCGCCTCCAAAGGTTTCTCCTTCACAAAGAACTAACACTCAATTTACAAATGACAGCACATCTGAATCCTTCCTAATATCTTTTTTCCCCCTATTTATATCTAATTAGCCCCTCTAACAAACTATTATTCTGAACTCCCGTTCTCCTTGTATCTTAAGTAACACTCAAGGCACCCATCCTACTTGAATCCTTTGATTTTCAAATCACTCAATTCCTCCATCTAGTATGATGGACCTAAGAAAGATACTCAAGCTTGTGACATGTGAAGGTAATGTCTCCAAGTTTCACCTACTAAAAGTCATGAACTTCCATAGCTTATCTCCAAACCTCTAAGTTATCATTCATTTCCTCTCTTGACTCTCCAGCTAGGAACTAAATCATCTACAAAAATAAAATGCAATGTGGCACTAACACTTGGAAATGCTCAATAAGCGCACACAATATGATGCAAACCTATAATTATAGGAGATCTGCTGTGACCCCCTCTCAGGTTTTCGGGCTTGTCATGTCATGACCCGTTTTTCTCATTCTTTGATTCCTGTGATATTGATATGCAATACACTCTTTCTTCTCTATGACCTTCCACAACATTTCTTGGCATTCTAATAGGGTTGCATTTCAATACCACTAACAGAATCAATTGTAGAAGTTATATACTATTTTGCCCAAGGACTCAAATATCAAAGACTCTTATGAGATAAAAAATTATTCGACACATTTAAATAATCCAGTAGCAGTTGTACTTGTAAATTGAATATATCCTCACAAGGAATAAAACCATATGCTTTCACTCAACAATTTAAGTTTTCGGGATGATTGGTTCATGACATGTACCAAATCCTCTAGGACCAAGTGAACTGAATTTTGATCCTTGTTGCCCTCAGTTTGCTAACAGAGTTGGATTTTGGCACAGCGTAGGCAGCTTGTGCATTCACCCCGGCTCTTGCATGATGGGATGTGTTAGATATTAAACCATTTGTGTTTTCACCTATCTTGAACGTTTTTAGATTGGAAGTTTGCGAAAGTTTCTCCCACAGAATTCATTAACATACGCAAAAAACCGAAGTTCATACTCAAGAACTTCATTAAAACAAGGTAGTGCAAATAAATTTTAGTATGTACATCAACTAATGTGTGCAGTAGTTGTTTACCTTTGATATAAAAGAGCAACTACCAATACTTAGTGTAATAAACTACAAGTAATAGCAAGAGGGAAATAAATGACATCGAGTTCAGATATAAAAATGATACGGAAATACAAACCCATTATGCTCCATGCCAAGCTCTTTTAATTCCCATTTACAATTGGCAACACGATCAACATATCTGTAAAAGAATGTATGCAAATTTAAAGAACAGATAAATTTAAACTAGATTTGATGACCTTGCAATAAGTAAACATTCAAAATTAGGTTGAATTTTTCTTTCCAAAACTTATAATAAATAATAGATCGTGCTCAAAGACTTTGAAGCCTACAAATAAACACAAGCTTAAAAAATAACATAATTTGGGATAATTCCAAAGAACATTTGTCACAAGATACAATCCTTTCATTGTATTACAATTTTGAGATCTTTAAACAATATTCCAAAATAATTGTTACCGCAAAACACTTTTAAATAAAAAATTTCTTCAAAATAAGGGAATCCTAAATATTAAGTAAAATTATTGATATATCTCACATAACAAAAGAGGAGTATCACTTGATACATTTGGATTTTTTATTTCCAGCACAAAAATTTTGTCAAACCACATAATAGAAAATGTTTATTAAATTAAATTCAATTTGGTATAATATAGTTTCCCTTCCCAATGGTTATGTCAAAAATAAAAGGACCCAGATTGTGGATGCCAATTTGATAGTACAGAAGTCATATATAGCATCAACACTTCCAAAGCAACCTTGTAGACTTCTATTTACAATACATTTGTCTTACCCGTTAATGTGCAACAGTAGTCTCACTGTAGTCCGATGAATATGTTCTGTAAGATCTGGTACAGCATCCACCTACAGAAATCTTTACCTATTAAAGATTGTTGTTATCCATACTGAGTCTTTTTCATATAAAAATATGTAAAAACAATTGAATCAAGTAGAAGTAGAAACAAACTATCAGAAAAAATATATATATATTCTAAATATCAAATCCAAAAATAATCATCTACTAGAAGTCAACATCTTGATGTTATATGTAAACGTATGTTCAAAAGACTTTAATAAAATGGGGTTCTCTACAATGTCTAAGGGTCAGAATTGCGGGAAAGTGCTTAGAGGGGCAACCTCAATACCCTTAGTGAGGATTAGCCCCAAATCCTTCGGATATGGGAAGGGCATATAGGAGCTCAGCACTCCTCAATCCTTCCGAATCCGAATCCATATAGTTTCTTAAACTTGAAACTTTACAGCTACCAATGCATGCGTTTTCAAATGAATGCATTGTTACTCATCATGTAAGTATAGTAAGGCCCTTCAAAAATGTACTTTTTACAATGACGCTCTCTATTCTTGTGTCATGTATGCCAAAGAGTATCGTAAAGAGGGGAAAGGTAGTGGACTAGCCCCCACTTTAGCAACATAAAATTGGTCTATTTTAATTACCTTTCTTCCAAAATCCTCCCTAATAAACATAGTTCAGACATGAATCACAGTAAATATTAACATTAGCAGGTTTTCAACTTTAACTAATCCACAATGTCAAATTATACAAGATGAATAGTCAACAAAGCCTTGGAAAGTCCGTCAATATCAATTTCCACAACAGTGTAACCCACTTAGTTAAATATTAACGTTCCACATACCAGATGAACATAGAAATCCTCCAGTATAGTTGAATTACTTTGCAAGAGCATTGATTGGAGATGAGCTTTAGATCTGTTCAGTATTCGAGCAACAAGAGATATAGTGTCAACAGCCACGCATCTTTCCTGAAAGATTAAAAAGATTTTATAGAGGCATAAACATATCTTACACAGCTTCCTCATTGATTAAAAATCTAAACTAAATCAACTAAGAAAATATCTTTACAAGCCACCAGGGTGCAATACCATAAATTAATACAGGAGAATCTTTGATGAAAAAAATAAAAGTTTCAATGATAAGCTAGTTGGTGTAGTTGGAGAAAAACCAAGGCTACAAACCCCACGCATGATTCACATACCAATGTGAAACTCAAGTACCATTAATTGTGTTAGGTAAGAGTTATGGGCGTAAGTCAAACCCAAAAGTTAGCTCATAGGTCGAGGGATGCCCCCCACTCATATCTTATTTGGTATCATCTTTAGTCAACGTGAGACTTGTAGTTTTCATAATACAACCCTTCACACTCAACACTATTGATGTTTGTGCAATAGACGATACGGTCTGTGCCTGTTAATGAATATAGCATAAACTTCGATCATGAGTGTCAAATCATGATCCGGTCCAATGTTGGGTCAACCGACCACTTTGGCCTGCTCTAAAAATAATAAAAATAATTTTAAATATAAAAAATAGATATGTATTTTAAACCTCATCTTTCATTTATGTGGGAAACCCATAAAGAGATGACAAAACAAATTGTTTAGTCGCTCCTAAGTTTTACTTGTTTGAATAATGTATTATGAAAAACTTTAGTTTATACAGAGAAAAAAAAATATTAGTAAGACATTTTCTTCACGTACTATTCTAAGCATATTATATTGTGATGAAAAATTATTAGAAATTACAATTTTGTTAAGAAAACCTTTCTTCTTAAATGTCTTCCGGTGTGTTAATATAGGAACCAAGGACTACAATATATTCACATTTTGCTAAAATAATTATGAAATTTCTTATTGTAAACTTTCTCATTTCTATTATACACTAAAGTATATAAACTATTTTTAAACATATAAATATATAAATAATTGTTCATATAAATATAAATCTTATTTTTCACATTTGATCCTATTTAACTTTTTTCATGTTGATCATACTCTCTCTCTCTCTTAATATATATATATATATATATATATATATATATATATATATATAAAAGGAGGAGTAAGAGTTAGAGACTTTTCATTTTCATCATTCATTTTTTGTAATCTAATGGTCTAAATTAGTGATTCATCTTAACCATTAGATTATCAAAAAATGAATAGTGATGATGAAGAGTAAATTTCTAACTCTTACTCTTAAAGCTACACACACACATATATATATATATATATATATGAGTGTGTGTACATTCACGCGTCCTCATGTCTATGATTTTTAATTTAGTTGTGTCCCCATGTTAGTGTCCTAGTTTGTGTTTCACAGCTTAGCTCCAGCACTAGATCTAGAAACTAGATATTGTTTTCTACTTCTTCATCCTTCAAGTGATCAAGTTTCCTCCAATAAGAATACAATATGCAGAAGTAGACTTCCTATATGATGGTAATCCTACCTAGATGGAGTCAAAGCAACAAAAAATTTTGGAATTACCTATGTATTCATATACTAATCTATGACTTGGTGCATTTTTAAGTTACCAAAGGATTCATATGGCAGTTTTCCAATGACAATGAATGTGATGTTTGGCCTAGTGACAATGTCATAATTACATCTTCTTACTAAACAACAATATCTTTCAAGGTCTTTCAATGGCTCTTCCTAACATAGAAGAAGTTTCACAGTAGGAACCGTACGAGTGTCGCTTGGGCAATAACCAAGCATACCAGATTCAATGAGGAGGTCTAAGGCATATTTTCCCGAGAAATGACAATGCTAGTGGGTTCTTGGGGAACTTGAACGACAAGGAAGTACTTGAGTGGACCCAAGTCCTTAGTTTCAAATTGACCATGGAGATGAAACTTGAGTCAAAGGATCTTGTCATAATCATTGTCATTGATGACAATATCATCGACATATACGACACAATAGATGCAAAGTCTAGATGGAGAATAGAGGTGAAAGATTGAGTGATCAACTTCACAAAATGTCCTACTAAATTCAAGCAAAGCAAAGGTGAAACGACTAAACCATGCCTAATGAGATTGCTTCAAACCATAGAGAGAATGACAAGGAAAAATCAAGTTTATCATGTACAATTTTTTCCTACTTTAAAAATTCTGGAGCGAGGGTGGGGATGGCGCCTTGATTCGGATCCCATTCCCGACTTTATATTTAAACCTAAACCTGAAAATATTAACACTCTTAAATGTCTCTTTTTCTTTCTCATGTTGTACAAAGCATAGTTTCTTCTCTATTCCACATTTTTCTCACTCACTCTTCACTCTTGTCTTTCTCGACCTCTTTAACTAGTTCAAAACATTCTTCTCTTCCTTTCACCTTTCGCTCCTTTAAATTTCCTTAATCTCTTCAACTAGTATGATGGGCACTAGTTAATCTTTTGCTTCTTAATCTTCCTCTAAATATTGTACATGGATCTTAGTAACACTTGTATCATTTTATTAATAATTTATCTTTATTAGTATTTATTATGTCATGTTTTTGAATTTTATTATTCTTATCATATATCAAATTTTATGTTAATTAAATAAATGAATTTTGAAGGATTAACAATTTTGAAGAATTGATAGTTTAAGTTTTGATTACTTTGCACTAACTCAAAGAATTATTTTATTAGATATTTTCTTATAAACTATATATTCTATATTTATTAACATTTTAAAATGACAAACCTATAAAATAATTAACTTATATATATATATATATATATATATATATATATGTATGTATGTAATCAAAGGTTCTAGTATTATAGTATATAATAAAAACAATGTTATGAGTATTCCATATCTATATGAAGAAAAAAATGATCAAATATTTTCTCGTTCATACATATTTTAATATAGATATAATAAATTAAAATATATATTCAATCAATAATAATAATAATAATAATAATAATTTAAAAGTTATAAAATTGTAAATATTTATTTATGTATGAGAAACAATACATATTATTTTTTTATAAATAGTATGTGTTAGATATGATTAGATATTAGTTGATATTGTTTGATATTGTTGAGATATTGTTAGATATTGTTAATCACAATATCAAATAATATCTTTTATTTACCCTATTTGTATTCTGTTACTCTTTTGAGGAGTACCTTTCTTTATTATAAATACACTGCCCTATGTGTGGTAAACACATAAGGGAAATTAACCCTATACAGTTTTTTACCTATATTCAACATGGTATCAGAGCCAAAGCCTAACATCTTTCCGGTTATTGTCATGGGCCAAAAGTTGCCCTTTAGTTGGGTCAAAAGTACCCTTTGCCTGGTCCGGCAGGCTTCGTTGGAGGGGGTGTGTTGAAAATCCCACATCGCCTACCTCATATCATTTGGTATGGTTTAAATACATGTTAGGCTACTCCACATATTGCCAATTGGTTTTATGTTGGAACCTTAACATGGTATCAAGAGCTTAAGGTCTCTTGGGATTTTTTTCGGCTCTGCCACTGAACCTGCAGCTGTCACCGCCTCCGCCTCCGCCGCCGCCGCCGCCGCCGTCGCCGAAGTAGCAGTTCGGACCGCCGAGCACAGGGTTTTGCTCGCCTCCTCCGTGCGACCTCCACCGTGGAAGTTTCGCGGTCATCGGAGCAGCCACGCTCCCCTCACGCGCCTCCCGAAGCCGCGCCTCCTTCTCCCGTTCCGCCGCGCGTGGCGACGCGTCTTGCCGCCGTTTAGGCCGCCGCTCTTTGCGTCGGCGTCGCCTCCTTCTCCTCTCTCTGGATCTGTCCTCGCTGCTCCAATCAGACCTCTTTGGTGTTTTAGGGTTTTTCTCTCTCTTTCTCCATGGCATCTTCTGCTGCCACTTCCAATTCTGAAGTTACCTCTGTCAGCTCCGGTGGGTCTGAGCAATCTGTTTTTACTAATTATGTCAATGTGAATTTACCCATTGATAAATTAGATGGTACGAATTATGCAACTTGGGCATCTGATATTAGACTTTGGCTTGAGAGTCAGGGGTATGTTGATCATCTTACTACCAAGGTAGATGATGTTCCTTCCAATGATCGTGTCCGTTGGAAGAAAGTTGATGCTCATATATGTATGGTTCTCAAGAATACCATCCAATCTTCTTTAAAACAAATTTTTCGATCGTATGGCACATGTTATGACGTTTGGGAACAAGCCAAATTATTATACACCAATGACACTCAACGTCTTTATGGTATTTGTTACAATCTTCTTGATGTTATTGCTCCTCGAGATAAGGATCCTGTGGCGGATTATGTGGGTAAGATCCATGCTCTTCTCCATGAATTTAATGAGTTATTACCCCCTGCCTCGACTCCTGCCCAAGAATTAGAGCAACGATCAAAGTTTTTCATGGTTTTGATGTTACACGGACTTGCTGATAAATATGCCCCTGTTCGTGATCAGATTTTGGGTTCCCCTGTTACACCCAGTTTTACCGCTACCAGTTCCTCCCTTTTGCGGGTGCCATGTAAACCTCTCAATATTCCCCCTGTAGTTTCTAATGATTCATCTGCCTTGGCCTCTCACCGTGATGATCGTAATCGCTCTCACAAGCCAGGCAAAGGGCGTGTCAAGTGTGACCATTGTGGCAAACTAGGCCACAAAATTGACAAATGTTATGCTTTACATGGTTATCCTCGCCGATCTGCTGCAGTTGCTCAGACTGATTCTTCCGCACAATCCTCTGCTGTGGATCCTCCTTCATCTGTACCTTCAGACAAATCTGCTATCTTCAATGATTTTCTTCAATGGTATGAGGATCGAAAGCCCTCCAGTTCCACTACTTCTGTTGCCCACACAGGTACATCTTTTGCTGGTCTGACTCACTCTTCTTCTATTGGCTCTTGGGTTCTTGACTCAGGCGCCACCGATCACATCACTGGTAACAAATCCTTATTTTCCTCTTTCACTTCTTCTCATAATTTACCCTCTGTTACAATGGCTAATGGGTCTACAACTTTAGCTCATGGTGTTGGAATGGTTACTCTTTTTCCCTCGTTGTCCATTGATAATGTTTTGTATGTACCCGGGTCCCCCTTTAACTTATTATCTTCTCATAATTTACCCTCTGTTACAATGGCTAATGGGTCTACAACTTTAGCTCATGGTGTTGGAATGGTTACTCTTTTTCCCTCGTTGTCCATTGATAATGTTTTGTATGTACCCGGGTCCCCCTTTAACTTATTATCCATTAGCCGTCTAACTCGATCTCTTGATTGTGTTATCTCTTTTACCAAAACTTCTGTTTCCTTACAGGACCGGAGCTCGCAAAGAGTGATTGGCACCGGATGTGAGTCACATGGACTTTATTATCTTCAACCTTCTCCACATGTTGGCACAGTTATGGAGTCTCCTTCAATCCTTCATGCTCAGCTTGGTCACCCTAGTCTGCGCAAATTACAGCAACTTGTTCCCAGCTTATCCCAGTTGTCCAGTTTGGTATGTGAGTCCTGTCAGTTAGGCAAACATAGTCGTACTTCCTTTTCTCGTAGTGTTTCCCAGCGTGCTTCATCCCCCTTTGCCTTAGTTCACTCTGACATTTGGGGACCCAGTCGTGTTAAGTCTAATTTAGGTTTTCAATATTTTGTTACTTTTATTGATGATTTCTCTCGTTGTACTTGGTTATTTTTAATGAAAAATCGTTCTGCGTTGTTTTCTATATTCCAAAACTTTTATCATGAAATTAAAAATCAATTTGGTGTCTCTATTCAAACTTTTCGAAGTGATAATGGCCGTGAATATCTTTCAAACTCGTTTAAACAATTTATGGCTTCTCATGACATTCTTCATCAAACTTCCTGTGCTACCCCTCAACAAAATGGGGTAGCTGAGCGCAAGAATAGACACCTTATTGAAACAACCCGTACTCTTTTAATTCATGGTGCGGTTCCTCAACATTTTTGGGGTGATGTTGTTCTTACTGCCTGTTATCTTATTAATCGTATGCCCTCTTCGGTTTTAGATAACAAAATTCCCCATTCTATTTTATTTCCTCATGACAATCTCCATCCTTTACCTCTGAAGGTTTTTGGGACTACCTGTTTTGTCCACAATTTTGATCCTGGTCATGATAAGTTATCTCCTCGATCACACAAATGTGTTTTCTTAGGATTTACTCGATCCCAAAAAGGATACAAGTGTTTTTCTCCTTCTCTTAATCGCTATTTTGTGTCTGCTGATGTCACATTCAATGAGTTTTCCTTTTACTTTAAGGACCCTTCCCTACTTGCTGAGTCTCCATCTACTACAGTTCTCATTCCTGTTCTCATTGATCCTTATGTTGAGGACCATCCACCATTAACCCCTCCTCCTCCACCACCCCTTCAGGTTTATAGTCGCAGACCTCGCCCACAACAGACGCCACATGACTCACTCCCAGTGCCAAATACTCTGCCTCCTCCGGTTCCGTCCACAGAGTCTGACCTTCCTATTGCCCTTCGTAAAGGTACGCGTTCTACTCGTAATCCTTCTCCACATTATACTCGCTTTAAGTTATCATCGAATTTCTTCACCATTTTATACCTGTCTCTCGTCTATTTCTTCCGTGTCTATTCCTAAATCTGTCTCCGAAGCCTTAGCCCACCCTGGTTGGCGTCGGGCCATGCTAGATGAACTCGGTGCTCTTCGAGACTAGTGGAACCCGGACGCTTGTCCCATTACCATCTGGAAAATCTGTTGTTGGTTGCAGGTGGGTCTTCGCTATCAAGGTTGGTCCTGATGGTACTATTGATCGCCTCAAAGCTCGCCTTGTAGCCAAAGGCTATACCCAAATTTTTGGGTTGGATTATGGTGATACTTTCTCTCCAAGTGGCAAAGATGGCTTCGTTCGTTTATTCATTGCCATGGCTCGCTACTCAACAATGGCCTCTTTATCAACTCGGATGTCAAAAATGCTTTCTTGAATGGCGATTTGCAAGAAGAGATTTATATGGAGCAACCTCCTGGATTTGTTGCTCGGGGGAGTCTTCTGGATTGGTATGTCGTCTTCGCAAATCTTTATATGGCCTAAAACAGTCTCCTAGGGCCTGGTTTGGCAAATTTAGCAACGTTGTTCAACAATTTGGCATGACTAGAAGTGAGGCGAGACCACTCGGTCTTTTACCAGTCACTCGAATGCCTGGATGTATCTATTTGATAGTGTATGTCGATGACATTGTTCTTACAGGTAGTGACCATCATGGCATATCTCGGATGAAACAACACCTTTGCCACCATTTTCAAACCAAAGATCTTGGCAAACTCGTAAATTTCTTGGGTATTGAGGTAGCACAATCTACCGATGGCATTGTTATATCTCAAAGAAAGTATGCATTGGATATTTTGGAGGAAACTGGGTTGATGAATTCAAAGCCTGTTGACACACCAATGGATCCTAATACCAAATTCTTGCCAAATCGGGGGAGCCAATGTCGGATCCTGAACAGGTATAGAAGATTAGTTGGAAAATTAAATTATCTTACAGTTACTCGCCCTGACATTTCCTTTGCAGTCAGTGTGGTGAGTCAATTCCTCAATTCTCCTTGTCAAGATCATTGGAATGCAGTCATCCGTATATTGAAGTACATCAAAAAGTCTCCTGGAAAAGGTTTGGTGTATGACTCCCATAATCATACAAGAGTTGTCTGCTATTCGGATGCTGATTGGGCAGGATCTCCCTCTGATAGAAGATCTACATCCGGGTATTGTGTTTCCATTGGTGGTAACTTGATCTCATGAAAAAGTAAGAAACAAAGTGTTGTGGCAAGATCCAGGTGCGAAGCAGAGTATAGAGCTATGGCCTCGACTACCTGTGAACTTATTTGGCTCAAGCAATTGCTTAAAGAGCTACAATTTGGAGATGTCACTCAAATGACACTAGTGTGTGACAATCGAGCTGCTCTCCATATAAGCTCTAATCCCGTCTTTCATGAGAGGACTAAACACATTGAGATTGACTGCCATTTTATTCGGGAAAAGATTATGTCTGGAGACATCAAGACCGAGTTCGTTAACTCATGTGATCAATTAGCAGATATTTTCACTAAGTCTTTACTGGGACCTAGGATGGATTATCTTTGTACCAAGCTAGGCACATACGATTTGTATGCTCCAGCTTGAGGGGGAGTGTTAGATATGATTAGATATTAGTTGATATTGTTTGATATTGTTGAGATATTGTTAGATATTGTTAATCACAATATCAAATAATATCTTTTATTTACCCTATTTGTATTCTGTTACTCTTTTGAGGAGTACCTTTCTTTATTATAAATACACTGCCCTATGTGTGGTAAACACATAAGGGAAATTAATCCTATACAGTTTTTTACCTATATTCAACAGTATGTAATGAGGATTGGTTCGAGAAAACTTGAAATTCAACCAGAATGCGAACTCAATTTTTAACTTTGACGGGGATAATTAGAAAAGTTGGGGATCAGAATCGAGAAGGCAAAACCCACCCCATTGTCATGCCTATAAAGATGGCGTGAGTCACTGGAGATTGCAAAATTGGGTGATCATCCATATACACCTCTCCTTGCAACTCACCGTGAAGGAAACATTTTATGTCCAATTGATGAAAAAGACAATGAGAAATGGCAGCCATCACCAAAAAAAGACAAACATAGGTAATTTTGGCTAGTGAGAAAAGTGTCACCAAAATCAAGTCCAAAATTTGAGTGTAACCATTAGCTACAAGGTGAGCTTTATAACTATCAATAGTATCATATGATGTTGTCTTGACTATATAGACCCATCAACACCCAATAGTGGATTGATTACAAGGCAAGGGGAACAATGGATTTTTTAGGAGGCAAGGAGACAAAACTGGTTGCTCAAACAATGGTGGCTTTGGTCATGTGACTCGTCAACGATAGGTAATTCCGGAGAAGGTGGCAGCGAACTGGACACTTATGAGCCTTTGGGGCAGGAGAAAAAAAACCTAGAAACCACAGAGAGGATTGCTTGTAATTGTGTGATTTGTACACACATGAGTAATCCTATTTTATACTGAATAAGAGACACACATATATTAAGGGCAACATCAATACCTAATAATGACAAATACATGATAGGATCTTAACCTACCAAATCATATATATCTATTTAATGTAATCAAATTATATCTACATCAGATAATAACATCCTTAGAACCACACCACAAGTTGGAGAGCTAAACTAAACCCTAATAAACCCACACTAGAATCCCATCCTTCCATGTGGGGCACAAGTCCCGTACCTTTCAATTGGATCCCAAGATGGATCTTGTAAAATTTCTTAACAAGGTAGTAAAAATTGAGTTTAGAAGGGTAGAGTAGGATAGCAACATGAAAAAGAAGTTTCAGCCAAAATGCAAAATTATATTTACAAGTATATCCACAAAAAAAAGCATATAAGAATCCTAATAATACAACAATCCAACAACCACACAGCACAACCAGAGAAGAAACAATAGATGCAACCACACAGCAACAGATAAGCAAAAGGGAAGGGAGTGAAGTAGCAAAAGTGAATAGGGAGGGAAGAGTGTTCTGCGAGTTAGGAAATTCAGGGTCAGGAAAGGTTTGGGCACAAAGGAAAAGAAGAACCCAAGCCCTGATGCAGAAAGAGTTGATTATGGCTTAGGCAAAGCAATTAGGGAATGAAATATGCCGAAATTGAGTTTTTCTTGTAAACTACATCCCGCAGCCCAACCTGTCCTATTTGTACCAGTGGTGTATTTCTTGTACACCACCCTCATCTAAACAGTCTGTTGGGGCGATGATCCAGACCACTTCACCCATCCCTGCTATCAAGTTTGACACACACAAAGGAGGATAAAACTCAGCATGTGAAATTCATAACACTGCTTTTCTACTACATGATGGCCAAATGAGCTAAATGCTACGCAAGATACAGTCAGGGTTCCAGTCCTCCTTAAGTGAGGGGTTGTACTATATAAGATAAAGCCCACATACAACAGTATGGTAATGGATTGTAATAAAATAAAGCATGTGTATAGCCAACTCTGAAACAAGTTACAATTTGATTTACTATTATACAGCTATTAGCACACTTTGTCCCCTTAACCGTATTCCCCTCAGTTTAGAGAAGCTAAATCCACATATCTGCTAAAATAAATTTGAGTATGATATTATTTCTGGGCCAAAATTCTGAAAATTATAATTCCCACTTCATCTCCTTTTGGAATTTTCTAAACAAGCATAGCATAAAAAAATTCTATCAATAATGCCAAGTAGCCAATAAACACTCAAAAGAAATTTATAGTAGAAGACATATCACAACTCTAGTCATGTAAAAAAAGAAAATACAGAGCGTGAGAGAATTGTTTTTTCCCAAAATAAACTTCACACATACCTTGAGACCCAAAGAAGTCCCTGAGCCAAAATTCGTATTGGGAGGGTTTATAGGTGTCAACTCAGTATGTACAAATGATGAGGTCAAAGATGTTGGTGAAGACGATTGAGACTTAATCCACTCTTCACAATCTTGGTTAACTCTGGATAAAGCTGTTCTCAAGCGATCTGCATGTCACAATAGATCTCGATCAATAATAATTAAACGTCAAAATTGGATTAAGCTATCAATGTTTTAGTATTTAATAGACTATTGTACTTACAATTAAGAGAGTTAGTTGAGCTTTTTCCACTTGAACTAGTGTTTTGATGACCAAATGTTTCATATATATTATAGAAAAATATTTCAAACAATTGGCATATTCCCTGCATCAATTTACTGAATCAGGAAAACAGAATTTAGAGGAAAAAAACAAAAAGCACCCCTAAGCTTGAAGTATCAGTAACCTATAAGGAAAAGATAGAGAAGGTGGGTAATATACAGCAAGCCAATTAAGGGAAGAAATGACTAACCTTAAAAAACTCAACATTTATCACTTCCAGTTTCTGCATAAGCCTTGCATATTTATCCATAGACCTTACATTTTACCACATACAATATCTCATTAAATCCACTGATACTAGTAATAATACTAATAAAGCTACATGGTAGAAGGTAACCGGTTTTTCTAATACAAAAGGTAAAGCAACTCACTTTAAAAGACAGAGAGAAGATCCAGTTTGTGTTGTATTCTCTTCATCATTACCATGAGAAGAAAGATTTCTTGAATGATGTTTAGAACTTCGACTTGGTAATTGACTGTCTTCATCAATAAAGTCAGCAAGAAGATCCTCATCTTCATCTTCTGAAACAGAATTGGCACCATTCATTTGATTGGAATCATTCTTTCTAGGTGTTCTATCATCATGAAAGTATTTGGCCCAACTTCCATCAGATTCACCACGAGCAGATCCATTTGGTTGGGAGTAACCATGACCTTCATTACAGGTTGGTAATTTTTGCATGAAAGGGTTTCCGCTTTTGATCCAGTGAGAGAACCCATTTTTCCTCGCACCAGTATGAACCATATTCACTGATTTATGGGAATGGATTGCACTGATGTTAATTGATTTACCAGTGGATAAAGAAATCAAGGGTGCTCCATCACCAATAAGTCCTGCAAAACTGATCATTTGTACTGTATCTAGAGGTAATCTTTGCCAAGTCTCCTTCTCCAAAACCATTTTTAGTGCCTAAAATGAGAAAAAAAAAATTATTTAATCATCTATCCAAGACTATAGATTACAGACATTGGTCAGATGCACAGCTTGGCATATAAACAAGCCCAAACAACAATTCAGCAATTACATAGCTAATTATTCTGCATCATAAATTTGGAAACCCACAAAAAAAAAATACAATAAATTATTGAATTTATTCCCAGTCATGCATGAATTATTTCGTTTTTGCATTTTGCAATAGTTTCAGCAAACTAGTACTGTTACCTTTCCACACAATAATAGCAAAACAATTTCCACTGTCTAGGAGAGCAGAACATCAATAGAATCACAAATGAAATAACCGACATGTTTCACCACAAATCAAAATAATATTAGAAATGGAGAGATGTTTAACTCAATGTTACAAAACCGGCTTGTAAGGTAAAATTTACACCTCAATTATCTATTATAAGTTAGTCATATCTTCAATTCATGTGGGATCTCCAACACACTCTCACACCGAGGAATGAATATCTCGAGAGCATGGAACTGAATATTAAGATGATTTGATAGCAGCCTGATAATCGGTAGAGTAATAAGCCAATAAATTTCGTTAATATAGACTCTAATATTATATTAGAAATGAAAAATTGTTTAACTCAACCCTACAAAACTGGCTTGTAAGGTAAGGTTTACATCTCAATTATATGTTATAAGTTGTTGAGACCTTTAGTCGATGTGAGATCTCTAACAATAATATTATGGATGTTTTTAGATCTAAACATACAAAAAAAAACCGTAATTTGGGTTATCTTCTGTTACAAGTAAAATTAATAGAAGAACGCACAAAAGAACCACAAACAAGAACTTGTCATACATCCCATCATGCACCTAGAAAGAACAACATAAGTCAATAGATTTAAAATTTATCCAACAAAATCATTACATTAATATAATAATCTTAGTGATAGCCAGAACTTTATCACCATGCAGACATAGAAAGCAATAAATTACAATGCATTTTATATATCATACAAGACTCAGAGGAACTACATAAGAAAACTCAATCAACATTATATGACTGTAACAGCCATGAAGAATGGGAAGCCAAGGTTCACTTACATGCACATTTTGTCGATGAAAAGTTGTGAAATAGTTTTCGCAAACAACCTTTAACTTCTGCCTAAATTCAACTGCTTCAATTCCACAAAAGGCTTCCCCAGTCAAAATAAAGACACTTAGTTCTTCATAATTTTTCAAGAATTGATGAATGCTAGCGGTAAAGACTGCAGCAGAAGAAAGCAAAACCGATACACGACTTGCAGTGAGATGCCACAAATTCCTTCGTCCTCTTTGAAGGATCTGCGACACAAATGTTATAGCTTCTTTGCGAAGATGGTACCAAGGGGATTCGAAGCTTGATGTTGCACTGTCCTCCTTTCCAGCCTCCTTAATTTGATCATGAGAATCACCGAATGGTGAACCACTAGTTTCAGTGAGTGAGCTCATTGATGCAGATTCCTCCCTAGAAGATGAGACATGTAATATATCTCCAGAACTGGACAAAGAATTGTTGCAGGCTCTTACATCTGAATCAACTTCCTGAGCCTCACCTGGACTACAGGAAATCTCTTCATTGCACTTATTTGAATTTTGTACTGTGTCCTGATATTAAAATCAATCATATGTATGAGCCTGAGGAACATAATTCGAACAACTATAGATCCTGTAAGCATGAATATACCCCCCCAGCATCTGGATTGGTTACATATTGAAATACTAATCATTTGTGAGAAGAGTACTCTATCACAAACCGGTGATTTAGTCAATCCATCAAACAAAACCAACTCAAGTATTTCTCCAATGTACATGTTGACTAGTGGAATGAGATCTTTTCAGGATAGTAAGACATTTCAAAATAAGAAATTGAGAGGGAATGCACAAAACAAAGTGGCGAAAAGGCATAATAAATATTTAAGAGCTTCAGACGAACCAGAAATTACCTTTCTTTCTAGCTGGAAATCCATAATTTCATGGTATGAACACATAAGGTCAAATAGAACAGCAAGGGTTCGTAATAAGCATTGCCTGAACTTTGAATCAGGTATTCTAAGGCATAAATCGCTGTAAGTGAACCTGGAATTGAAATGACAACTATGAAGCCAATCTAACACAAAATACTCATACTAATAATCATTAAAGGGTGATAAATATGCTTGCAGAAGAAAAAGTACCTACTATTTTGCAAAAGTCCCTCCTCATCCTACAAAAAAAGAGTCAACATACTAATTAAATGAGTTCTATAAAATTTGGCTGGAGGACAGAAATAAAGTGAATCAATTGCTATGAGCAATATTATTGTCTTGAAGCCTCAAATATCAATAATTATGGCCACATGTCCTACTCTAAACCCGTTTTGAGGAATTAAGTCCTGCCAATCCTCCTTTGGACCAATATAAATAAACTAATAATAACTAGACTAAGCTTAAGTAGCCAATATGCATACCCCTATATAAAATGAAAGGTGGTAATAATACAACGTCACTGTAATTAAAGACATAAATTACATAGAATAATGAACAGAAGCTCCACACTCAATTTCATTTGAATGTCAAGTAGGGAAATAAATTACTAACTGACGTACCTCCTAAACAATCTCTGAATCAGATAGTACTGAACATGAGTTAGGCAAAGAAATGTATATAGTACCTCATGCACAATGGCCTTTAATACAGAGTGTGTTTCTGATATAACTTCTTGCATGAAGAAACTCTGTATCTTCTCAGCAAGACCAGCAGTATCCCCTATTAATGCATATGCATCAACTACCTGTATCACCTCATTAGATTAACATCATTTATAATATATTTCCAATAGCAAATATCTGCAAGCTCACACACAGTACAATGGGGACAGTAAGTCATCGAATATTGGTAGTATCTTTTTATTTAAAAAAGTGCAAGAGAACAAGAAATACATGAAAACCAAACCAAGAAAGAATGGGAAAAGAACTAACCAATAAATAAAGGGGAAAAAAAATAACAAAAAAATGATCATCAAATTTTGGGATTGCTTGAAGTGCTTCCAAGTTGCTTGCCACTATTTCAAATTCCTATATTGGCATCCCCACCATTTGTTTCACCACCATCACCTTGAGAAGGCGGTTCCAATCCACACCTTCAATTGTTTGCATTTGCCACAAGATAATCGTCTCAATGGTAAGAACTATCTTCAATGGGCCAAATTCATCCACCGCACATTAAAGGGTACACAGGCTTTAAAGGAGAGGTTGTAACCCAAATAACCTTAATGTTTAGATTTGTACAATGGTGACTTTTTAATATGTTATTATTAGTTAGTGGTTAGTAGTTAGTGATTGTTTGTAGTTGGTAGTTGTTGTTTTAAATGTTGTAATCCTATATATATATATATATATGAGATCATAGAGTGGAGTAAGGCATCACACTAAATTAGAAATCTTCTTTTCACTCTCTTAACTTAGTATCAGAGCAGGTTGGTCCTGCTCTGCCTGTCCGGCCACCGTCCAGCCACCATCCGGCCATTTTCCAGTCATTGTCCGACCATTTTTCCGGACACTTTCCGGTCACTTTTCGGCAACTGTCAGTCCCCCGTCCAGTCACTTCTTCTTTTTTTGTCGTCCGACAACTTTTCGACCACCTTCCAGTGACCTTCCGGCTTTCATTCCGCTACAGTTGTCCGCTGCTGCCATTCGTCAGTTTTCTTGCAAAGTGAAAAATGATACTTCCCTCTCTATCTAATTCTATCTTGGGTGTTCTCCTTCTTACAAGTTCCATTGTCTTCATCTTACATCTACATTATTTAAAACATGTTGTCAGGGCCCACAACCTCCTTTTCCGGAACTCCCACTATAACGACTGAGAAATTAAATGGAAAAAGTTACATGCCTTGGTTCTCTTCAGTGGAACTTTGGTTCCTTGGACAAGGGTTTCACGATCATCTAGAAGAAGACGAAAGTAAGATACCAGAAGATCAAGCTCAACAATGGAAAAAACTTGATTATCAACTTTGTGCTCTACTGTGGCAATCAGTAGAACCAAATATTTTGAACACTCTCAGATCCTTCAAAACATGTAACTCTTTCTGGAAAAAGGCTCAGAATATCTTCGCAAATGATATCCAACGCCTCTATGATTCCGCTAATCGATTAGCCTCTCTCAAGCAAGTGGATAAAGATATGATGACCTTTATTGCTGAAGCTCAATCAGCAGTTGAAGAATTAAAGATGTTCCTAGAGGTGGATTCGTTAGAGGAGATAAAGCAAAAGTTGGATAAATTCTATATGGTTATGACTCTCCGGGCTATGAATTCAGAATTTGATCATGTTAGAGATCAAATTTTAACTGGACAAGAAGTTCCTTCTATGGAAAGTTTGACTACAAGACTGCTTCGTGTTCCAACTCTCAAAGGAAAAAATAATCAAGAACTTGTTGAATCTTCTGTTATGATTTCTACTCGTGGAAGAGGAAGTTGCGGCATTAGAGGAGGACGTGGAGGTAAAGGACGTCCTCAGTGCACTCATTGCAAGAGAATGGGTCATACCCTGAAAAATTGCTACTCTTTGCACGGTTTTCCTGACAAAACTGTCAATTTTTCCAAATCTGAAATGGTTGAACCCAAGTTCTTTCACGAAGAATATCAAGAATATTTCAAGTTGAAATCCAGTAATCTAGCACAGTCATCAACAATCTCAAATTCATCAACAACTTGCATTTCACAATCTGTGGAAAGTCAAAATCCATGGATTATTGACTTAGGCGTTTCTGATCACATGTCTGGTAATACCTCTTTGTTCTCTTCTCTCTCATTTCCTAAAACTCCTCATCTCATAACTTTAGCCAACAGATCTAAAGCAACCTCTAAAAGAACTGGTCAAGTCTCCATTTCTCCGTCTTTAAACTTAAAATCTGTTCTTTTTGTTCCTTCAGTCTCATTTCCCTAAGTCAATTAACCAAATTGTTGAATTGTTCAGTAACCTTTAATGCCAACTCTTTTGTTATACAGGAACGTGGTACGAGTCGACAGATTGGCGAAGAACATGAATCTGGGGGCTTATACTACCTTGAGACTAAATCATTTGTATCTTGTGTTGCATCCTTGTCTCCAAAACTATTACACGAACGTTTAGGGCACCCTCACTTGTCAAGATTAAAAAAATGGTTCCTGAACTTCAGACTCTTCAAGATTTTGAATATGAATCATGTCAACTAGGGAAACATACTAGGTCCTCTTTTCCTAAACATTCTGAATCTAGATGTGACTCTGTCTTTTCTCTTGTTCATTCTGATATTTGGGATCCTAGTCGTGTCTCATCTTTTGGCTATAGATATTTTGTTACCTTCATTGATGAGTTTTCTAGGTGTACTTGGATTTATCTAATGAAAGACTGTTCTGAATTATTAACTATCTTTAAGTCTTTCCTTAACGAAATCAAAAATCAATTTGGAAAAGTAATCAAAGTTTTACGAAGTGATAATGCCAAAGAATACTTTTCTACTGATTTCTCCACTTTCTTAAGCTCCCAAGACATTTTACACCAGTCTACTTGTCCTCACACACCACAGCAAAATGGTATAGCAGAATGAAAAAATAGACATTTGGTTGAAACTGTTCGTACCTTATTACTTGGTGCAAATATGCATGTTCATCATTGGAGAGATGTTATTCTTACTGCATGTTTTCTCATTAACAGAATGTCATCTTCTTCTCTTGATAATAAAGTTCCACACTCTATTCTATTGCCAAAGGAGCCACTCTTTCATGTTTCTCTTTGTGTATTTGGTTGCGTATGTTTTGTTCATGATATGTCTCCAGGTTTAGATAAACTATCAGCTAGAGTCATCAAATGTGTCTTCTTGGGATACTCTCGTCTTCAAAAAGGATATCGATGTTATTCTCCTGAAACCAAGAGGTACTACATGTCTGCTAATGTCACTTTTTTTGAGTCAACTCCCTTCTTCCCTTCTTCTATACAGGATATTAGTTCGGTCCAAAATGTCCTACCTATACCCTTGGTGGAGCCATTTGTACCTCCTCCTCCTGACACCCAAAATTCCACACAAGATACACCAGATTCCTCATCACTTCCTCTTATTACCTATGAACACAGGAGTCAAATGATCAGTCTCATGTCCCAAAATGAGTCTTCCTCAGCAGATCCTTCTCAATCATCCCCTGATACCACGATTCCTGATAATGATGACTCAAGTTAGCCCATTGTCATTCGCAAAGGTACTCGCTCTACTCATAATCCACATCCCATTTACAATTTTCTTAGCTACCATAGATTGTCTCTTTCCTATTTTTCTTTTGTTTCTTCTTTATCCATTATTACTATTCCAAAAAATGTGAAAGAGGCACTTGATCATCTTAGATGGCGACAAGTCATGATTGATGAAATGCAGGCTCTTGAGCACAATGGTACATGGAACTTAGTTCCTCTTCCACCTGGGAAAAATACTGTTGGTTGCCATTTGGTCTATGCCATTAAAGTTGGACCAAAAGGTGAAGTTGATCGACTCAAAGCTAGATTAGTAGCAAAAGGCTACACTCATATCTATGGCCTTGACTACAGTGATACTTTTTCTCCAGTAAAAAATGACTAGTGTTCGACTTTTCTTTACTATGACAACTATCCGTCATTGGCCTCTTCATTAGTTAGATATCAAGAATGCGTTCTTGCATGGTGATCTTGAGGAGGAAATTTATATGGAGCAACCTCCTAGTTTTGTTGCTCAGGGGAGTCTAGTTTGGTTTGTAAGTTACATCGTTCTCTCTATGGTCTCAAACAATCTCCACGTGCTTGGTTTGAAAAGTTTAGTCACATTGTTCAAAGTTTTGGATTAAAACAATTGCTTCAGGAAAATGTGTTTATTTAATTGTATATGTAAATGATATAGTCATTACAGGGGATGATGTTGATAAAATTTCTCTGCTAAAGAAACATCTATGCAATCACTTCCAAACTAAGGATCTTGGTTGTCTCCAATACTTTCTAGGGATTGAAGTGGCTCAATCAAAAGAAGGCATCATAGTCTCCCAAAGAAGTATGCTTTAGATATCCTGAAAGAAACAGGCATGATTGATTGTGGACCAGTAAACAACCCCATGGATCCAAATCAAAAATTAATGGCGGATTAGGGTGAACCGCTCTCTGATCCTGAGAGATATAGAAGACTTGTTGGGAAACTCATTCATCTCACCATTACCAGACCTAACCTATCTTTTGTCGTTGGAGTTGTCAGTCAGTTTATACAAAATCCGCGTACTGATCATTGGAATGTTGTCGTTCACATCCTAAAATATCTCAAAAAAGCTCAAGGACAAGGTCTGTTATATGAAGATAAAGGGGTACCCAAATATCTGGGTATTGTGATGCTGATTGGGCTGGATCCCCTATGGACAGACGCTCCGCTACAAGATATTGTGTTCTCATTGGAGACAATATTATTTCTTGGAAAAGCAAGAAACAAAATGTAGTGGTCCGATCTAGTGCTGAAGCTGAATATAGAGCAATGGCATCTCTCACTTGTGAACTAGTGTGGGTGAAACAATTCCTTCAAGAACTGAAATTTTGTGAGATCCAACAGATGAAGATGTACTGTGACAATCAAGCAGCTCTTCACATCGCCTTTAATCCGGTGTTCCATGAAAGGACCAAACATATAGAACTTGATTGTCATTTTATTCGTGAAAAATTGTTGTCTAAAGAAATCTGCACTGAATTTGTCGGGTCCAATGATCAACTTGCAGATGTGTTGACAAAGTCTTTAAGAGGACCTCGAATTGAATTTATTTGTTCCAAGCTTGGCATATACAATTTGTATGCTCCAGCTTGAGGGGGAGTGTTAGAATTATTATTAGTTAGTGGTTAGTGGTTAGTAGTTAGTAGTTGGTGGTTGTTTGTAGTTGGTGGTTGTTGTTTTAAATGTTGTAATCCTATATATATATATGAGATCATAGAGTGGAGTAAGGCATCCCACTCAATTAGAAATCTTCTTTTCACTCTCTTTACTCTCTTAACTGAATCATAACATGGTTATCCATGACTACAAAGATCAATTAAAAATACATGTTCTACTCCATTGAAAGAAATCTAGGAAATACTTATTCTAAGATATCTCTAAGAAGAACTTCTCATTGTAAGACTTAAGACTGAAAAATATGATAAAGGAGCTTAAGTAATAATTATCTCTCAGTTGATCCATTTATTTATAGGAGAAAAGTACATCAAGATTACAAAGCGTGTAGAGGCAAAAGGCTACACCTAGGTGCCAAATGATAACAAGTAAAACAATTTCTAGAGAAGTTAACCTATCTCAACTCGTTAACCAATAAATTAACATATTCTAACACTCCCCATGAGTTAGAACATTTAGATTGTATGTACAAAGCTTGGAACATACAAATTGAATTCGATGTCCTCTCAAAAATTTAATTTGTAAGTTGATCATTAAAGTTGACAATTGTTGCATTTCTTTTCTTGTAACTTCTCTTGAACAGAATGACGACCAAAATCTATGTGTTTATTCTCCCATGAAATACACAATTGGAAGCAATATGAATAACATCCTAATTGTTTAATCCATATAAGTTCACGAGTGAGATGTTTCATCCCCTATACTCGACTTCAGCACTAAAGCGAGAAACCACATTTTGTTTCTTGATCTTTTAAGTAATAATATTGCCTTTAATGGAGTCTCAATAAAGAAGTGAATACCTCCCATCTCCAATCTTGCACTACTTTTAAGTCCTATTGAATTTGCCTTCTCCATCGATGTCTTAGACATCTGCCACTTTATGTTGTTAGATCTATGTTCGTTTCTTTGTTTTCAAAAATGTTTGTTGAGTCCTTTAAGTGTACTGTATGTCAGTTTGCAAAAACCATCTTGCCATATATTCTCCTAGTAATATAAAAGGTGTTGGCGTTTTTATTTAATTCACTCTAATGTATGGAGAACTACATCAAATTCTTGTATCATATGCTAAATAGTTTGTCAAATTTATTGATGATTGCACTCATATCAAATGGTTTTTCCACATGAAAGAAAAATCTAAAGTTTTTCCTTTATTTGTAAAATTCTTTCATATGATAAACACAATTTGGAACATCTATCAAACACTTATATTCTGACCATGGGAGAGAAAACATAAATCATGACATGATTAAGTTTCTTTTTGAAAATGGTATTATTCATGAGCTCACATGTGGATACAACACAACAAAATGAAATTGTTGAAAGAAAAAATAGTCATCTCCTTGAAGTTACTAGGGCTCTTGTCTTCTAAATATTTGTCTCTTATTGAAGGAAAGCAGTCGTTATTGTTGCCTACCTCATTAATAGACTAACCTCTCATGTTCTTGATGGTCTTAGTACTATCAAATCTACATCCTATTTCTTTCCATTTGTTCCAATTTTATCTAGTCTTCCTAGTTATGTTTTAGGTTGTGTTGGCATTTGTCCATGTTCCGTCAGAAGATTTATACCTCTATGGATGTCACCATCCATGAAACCACATCCTTTTATGAGCATCCTCTATTTCAAGGGGAGAGTTCTATCCAACTTGAGATTTTTAGTCAATTGATTCGTCCTTTATCCCTTTGATGCCGGAATCTTCATTGATTCAAACTAATGTTGACCCTTGTTCATCTTACAAAGATATTTTTAAGGCTACTACTCATGTGGGCAGTTTTGTTTCGGAATCAGCATCAACACCAAATACTAGTCGCCCAGAGGTCTCTTTCACATACAATATCAGTGACGAAGGACAAATCCTAACTTAGTCCAAGAAACTACAATCATCTAAACCAAATAGTCTTCATACTTCTGAACCATTAGATAATTCCTTACACAACAAATGTGAGCCTAACTTTGATGAACTGCCTATAGTCTTAAGAAATGGAAAACAATCATTGGACTAAGAATCCTATTTCTTAATTTGTATCCCTTAAACACCTTTCTGTGCAGGACTAGAGTTTTCTCTCAACCATTGATGCAGTCAGAATCCCTACAATAGTTTAAGAGGCATTAAAGAATTAGATTCAAGCCGTGAAGGAAGAGATGGGTGCCTAATGGAAAAATCAGACTTGGGAGATTGTTAACAGCCACAAGATAAAAGGGTTGTAGGACGCAGATGGATCTACACTTTGAAATATCAATAATGTACATTGGATCATTACAAAGCGATGCTAGTAACACTGAGTTTGGTTTGAGAGACTTACACAGACTATGTTTTCCTTTGGTATTTATTTACAATGCTTTCTCTAAAGCACAATATTTATTTACAATGCTCTTTTCCTTGTGAAGAAAGCATGCTTAGTTACCCATTCTAGACACTGAATAATTAATACTTACTACATATAAATAGAAAGCAAAGAAATTTATGGCAAAAATACAAATAGACACTCACTGTTATATAGCAATCTTCCTTGAACTCTTGACATACTCCCAATAAGAGAGCATCTAGCTTCTGCAAAGTTCTTCCTAGCCAAACCTTTTATTAATGATACAATGGAGAAATCGTAAACAGTTAAGTACACAAATACTTCGCATTGTTATCAGGAATATATTGAGTAACAGAAGGAGTACTGGATTTAATTAGACAAGTTCCTAACATACAAGGAAAATTTTAAGAATAAATGATTTTAATCCTTCCTAGAAGTTATTAAAAAGTCACCTCCACACCACGACTCATTTCTTGTATTGCTGAAAGCTCTGACAAACTATCTAAGAGTTGCAAATACTCAGATAGAACTTGAAATGCCTGCATAATGATCAAAATAAAAAATGAGAATCTTAGAAGATGCCTTAGATCTAAGCATAGAAAAAACATATATTAGAAAAATGAGTAAGTTGTGATTAATTGATCACAATATACATGTTAAACACACACACACGTATATAGAGAGAGAGAAGTTCACCTTCCAATAATTCCCTTCCTCTGCAAGGGATTCAAGTGTTGATTGCATGTCTAAAGCACGCTGAAGTTCAGTCAAGGTTGGAAGCATGTCCTATGAATGAAAAAAGATAAATTTACGGCTTTAGTGTACGCATGTATCTCGGACACCTCCTACCTACCCAAAAGAAGGGAGGATTTATGTATCCAAGACTAAACTATTTTATATGCCCAATAACAACTTATGAATAACAAGAAATCAATTTTCAACACAACGACGCATTGTATCACGGACACCTCCTACCTACCCCAAAAGAAGGGAGGATTTATGTATCCAAGACTAAACTATTTTATATGCCCAATAACAACTTATGAATAACAAGAAATCAATTTTCAACACATCGAAATTAAATCGTGAAAAAATGGGAAACAGAGCATAAAGGCATTACAAGAAACTAAGGCTAGTTCATAGACAGAGAGATGGAAATACCAGAAGAGCTTGTTTCTTTTTGGAATAAGAATTCACAATCAGATCCCTTGAAACCTCATTCATAGATGATGTCAAGTGTCTTCTTCCATTCTGCAAAGCATCAAGAGAATGTAATAAGAGGAAGTTAGATCAAAACGCAGTATCAGCTGCTTATGAGTTATGATGCCTACCATACAGATGACATTTGCAATTCTTAAGTCTTTTTCCAATTCTCTGACCAAATTCATCCCCTTCACTGGCCAAAAGTGAGTATCAGTTCCTTATTCTAAAACTTTTAAAAATTAAATAAATAAGTGGTCCAGAAATGTAAAGTTGGCAACAGTAGTAAAGTTGCAGAGACCAAAAAACTTCTCAATATCTCAATGAATTTAAACCAAAATTATTTATTATTTAAATTAGAAATGACACTGCATTCTTCCAATTACACCAACTAGAAAATTCTTTTAATTTGTAATTATAATAATAATAGAGCAAATTATGCTGATAACTCCTCTGGTTCTTCAAAATTCACACAATATCCTTGCCTTATTAACTTTAGACTAAGGCCCTTACATGGCCACACTGTGTAATATATTTCTTGGGTAGCAAGGTGTGCCAATGTAATATAATTCAGAAAATGAAGATGTATTGTGATAATCAAGTTGCTCTCCACATTGCTTCCAATCCAATGTTCCATGAGAAGACTAAACATATTGAAATTGACTGTCATTTTATTTGGGAAAAGTTGTTTTCTAAAGAAATCTATAATGAGTTTTTCGGGTCCAATGATCAACTTGTAGATGCATTAACAAAATCCTTGAGAGGACCTCAAATCGAATTTACTTGTTCCAAACTTAGTACATACAATTTGTATGTTCCAGCTTAAGAGAGAGTGTTAGATAAGTATTTATTAGACATTAAATAGGAAATTATACCTATGAGTTGTATCTATATATGTACGTTTACCTAGTTTCTAGAATAGATCTTTTCATTTTCCCTCTACTTATTGTATTTGGGAACTTCCATTATAAATATGAGAATCTAAGAGAGGGGATGCAAGCTCTCCAATTACATATTCTCTTCTATTTATTTTTAGTAAGTATTTCAAATATGTTGGGGCTACTAAAAGGGGAACAAGGTGAGGTATAGTGTGAAGTTCAAAGAAACATGTGTTAGCGTAATTTTATCATAATAATAATGTTGCAAATAAAAAATAGACAACCTTGAAATAAGCAAGTGAAAAAGGTGCACAGCAGAAAACAAATGCTAGATAAAATATTGAACATACATGACCTTGTGCACTAAAACCTGCACAGAGGAGGTATAGTCAATCGATTCTATCAGTTCACCCCTTCAACTTACCCATTACTTCATGATGCTCCATAACATGGCGAGACAAAAGTTCAGCCACTCTATCCAGTTGTAGCAATCTAAGGGAAGCCTAAATGACAAATTCCAAGACCAAATATCTTATGAGTATTTATAGCATGTAGCATGATAATACAACCTAATTCAATAAACTTACAAAATTCAAACTGTTGATATAATAATTAGATTTTTTGAGACAACAATGAAAATTAGATTATTTCAATAATCGATTGTAATCAGAATCAGTTTTTTATTTAGATAAGTTGCTGAAAGTGATTTTAAGATAAATAATTTTGTTTGGATGCAAATTAAAAATTAGCTTTTACATTAGAAAAAGAGTGTGTACGAAGTTGAAAAAGAAAAAAAAAACTGTTGAAAAATAATCACAAGCTATAAATTTTAAGATCCAAGAAAACGAATTATTTCTTCCAAAAGAAAAGTTTTTCAACAAATTTAAGTTATTATCCCAAACATATAACTTATCTTACAAACAGCTTTAATAAAAACAGCTGAAATCTTATATTTCAGCTGTCCCAAACATGTTATTAATGGATTGCAGTCATTGCTTAAATAAGCAGTTCGGGCTGCCAAATCACAGCACTTCACTGATGGAATATTGCTTTAGTCAAATTGCTCAGTTGTAAGTAACTTCAGCAACGGCATTGGAGTTGCTCTTAGGTGCAAGAGATGACAATTTGCAATGAATGTTATGAAGGACTGATACTTCAATTTATTTCACATATTTGTATATGATACTAATACTCTTGAATATTACACCTAACTTATCGGCAAAATACTCACGCCTTAAAATTATGAAAATTTATTACAACTACATGAGACATGTGTAATATAGGAAATAATAGCAAGTAATTTATGATGGCAATAAATTTTTTTTTTCAGGTATGTCTGATATGATAAGTACGTTCTAAATTAAGATTTGCATATTGCAATTATATTTATAATGTTATATGAAATTTTATGCATATCAAGATATGTAAAAACATGCATTGTATCCTGTATAACTTTAAAATGTCATATCGTATCAGATATGTATTATTTCTGATTCGCATTTTATATATATACATTGTAGAATGGATGGAAGAGATGGGTAGCAAAGCTAATAACGTTCTGCTTTAATAAATAAAGAGGAACCTTGAAGATAATAAATGTCATCACTTACAAGTGTAGAAAAATTAATGAGTTTCTACTTTCTTTAAGCTGATAAATAATACAATGCAGACAACTCTTTTTTGTTCAGTAGAAGAATGGCTAAGTAGAGAACTGAGAAATTTTTACGTCTAAAGATAACAACAAATTAAAAAAAAATGGTTAGCAAGATTGAGACACATGAACCACACCTGTTTTTCAAAATATGTTAGCTCGTTCTCTTCAGCTGGAACATGCTCTAAAACATGCTTAATTGGATCAAAGTCCTGCATAAAGGCATTCAAAAGAATCCATTCACCTCACAAATCATGGTGATCAAATATGGGTAATATGTATAAAATTTCATTGGAGTTAGTAAGTTACTAACAGTTGCAATTAGGTATTTAAGCTCAAAAAATAGTGATAAATACATGTATACATTAATACAATTAAATAATAACAGATTTTATCCGCTCCTTCAAGTCTTGAGTTCAATATAGGGAACAGGAAAATAGTTTTTCCTCTATATATTTGTAGAACAATTTTAATGTTTTGAATGTTTTCCTTCTCATTTTTCATACTGGGTGATAGTGGCACATTCCTATAATCAGTAGAAACATGAAGATATTAAAAAAAAAACTTGTTAAATAGTAGTATAATAAAGAAGAAGCTGTAAAATTGAGTAAGAGAAGAAAAGAGTGGATAAATTGTGTCTCTTCTGAAAATGAGCGAAAAGAACAAAACAACAAAGAACATATGTCGTAACTGTTTTGTTAAAATAGGTTTTAAAAACTGCTTTTAGTTTTTAGTTTTCAAAATCTAAAAAACCAAAACTGATAAAAGATGTTTTTTGTTTTAGTTTTCTATTTTCATCAATAGGTATCAATGTTTTTATCAATAATTAAATTAATCAGTCAACTTTATCACCATAAAGTTATCAAAATCATTTTCAAACTTTCCTATGGTCATCTATGTTATTCTCTTTCGTCTAAAATAGTTTTCAAAAGTATAATTATCAAACAAGTTTTTTTCCAACTTATTTTCAGAAACAGTTTTTCAAAGTTGATCTCTAAGACTGTTTTAAAAAAAAAAAAAAAAAAAAAAAAAAAAGCCCAAAATATGACAAATCAGAAACTATTGTTAATAATGGGGTATTCAAATATTAATTAAAAAATCAAGGAAGAAGTTCATATGTATAAAAACTTCCTAATATGAAGCGTTATATCAATAATCTGTCTAAGGATACAAAACTAATTCTTACTGAGAAGTTCTATGCTCTCAACTGTTAGCAACCATCCCATGGTCTCCTGGTACAAGCAAATATTTGGAAACTTCCAAAAGATAAAATTTTCTAGGAGAAACAGAACCTCCATATGAAAATAGTTTCTGTTATTAACACAAAGGAGGTTGCAAGAAAAATCAGTATGAAATTGAAGCAGGAGTGATACAGAAAGTAACACCTCTTCATAGAATTCATCCTCCAGCTCCTCCACTAATTGGCCTTGAGGTCTGCTTCCATATATTGAACTCAGTTCTTCTGAACTTGATGAAAAACTATATCGCTGATGAGGAGGTAACCCTGCAAGAGCACGAGCTACAGCAGCTGCAGCAGCAGCTCGAGCTGGAACCTGTTCAACATCATTTATAAAACATGAAAATATGCCCCTAACTCTCAAACAAACAAGGAATCACTGCATAAATACCAATAAGTGCATGAATATGAATATAAGGATAACAACAGGGAGCATTCACTGTTAGGTTCACTGATGGGCTTAGGCAAGAAATTACAAGAGATATTCACAGAACTTGTAGTCCGCTAAGTGTGTTTGGTTCGCAGTTGAAAACCACAGTATTCCTGCAATATTAAGCATAACAACGAAGCCGCAACCAGGTATTCCTTACAACTATAAACATCTGAAAACATCTATGGCTCTTCGCAAGTCCTCTCACAGAACCAATATTCTTGATGAAAACCATTTCCTGATTTATTAATTTTCTAAATCAAATTCGCAATAGCTAATTCTATCACAAAGTCTCGCTCAGCGTCAATTCTCAACCAGGTGGCAGGCGCAGAGCAACGGTACATCATCAAATCCAAAACTCGCATAAATTGCATTAAAGCAACATAGTTAACGCTTTACCCTAACTTAGCCACAAACACAAAACACATTTTTAACAGTCCAATCGCACAGCATTATCTACAACTAAAACTACGCATCTAAAGTTCCGAATTGAAAAACAAATTCCGCATGACGAGTGTAGTACTGATGGCCACACAATTGTACACGAGAATGAAGCGGAGGAGGATTTACCTCGGGGCGATCAGGAACGGGAGGAAGCATTCCGAGAGATCTCGCGGACCTAACGGAGCTCATGATTTTTTCGCCGACTTTGGATAAATCCATTGCTCCTCCCTGGGAGAGCAAGAAGAACGGGAGCAAGAAAAAAACCCTCGAGCTATCGATCCCTCCCTCGCTCAAATCGTCATTGAAAATGAACGGATTCCCCAGCACGCTTCCAAAGGGAAATAAGTTCGGCTGCATCTCAACTTAAGACGCCGAGATCCACCGCTCACAGTCGCGTTTCATAACGAAACGGCTGTGTTTTGCACTCTCGGTGAGATCTGATTGTTGTGGCATGAAAATGCGAGTTCGGAACTGGAACGAACGGCGATAGCGAAGTTATTTATTTGCGCTGGAGAGTTTCGGGTTCTACTTTAACTTCACTGGCCACAGCACTGTGCATGAACGTGATCGTTGCTTGCTCGCTTGGTGCGCTCGTTGACGAAAAGTGGATTAGAAATTGGGATCAGACACTGACTGTGCGCGCATCGGGTCTTGTTTGTTGTTGCTTTACCAAAAAATTTAAGTCGGGTGGGATGGGATTTGGGATCACAACTTGGAAAATATTACTTACTTCTTAAATTTACGGCAATCAATCAACTAAATTCTATCAAACTTGCTGGTGCATACGTAAGACAGCGAGTGATTAAGTATTTAGCAGTTAAATGCACCTAAATGAGAGAAAATCTTTCAGTTTTTTTTTCCCCAAACATTACTCTTTTCAATACCATATAATTATTAACTTTATCACTCTCACACTAAAAAATAACTTTTCATCTCTCTAACTTTTTTTATTGAATTAATATTTGAAAAACAGAGGTGTTAAAAAACTTCTGAAATTTATCTTTGTGAATAATTAATATAATGTTAAAAAAAGTTGATGACTAATGATTGGAAAACATTACATTAAAAAATAATTTAATCTTGACCACTTAAAAATGTTGAGACAATCACATTAATGATTTAAAAAATAAATAAATAACTATATCAGGCATATCTGTGATAAAAAATGAGGCATACATTTTAACCCATAACCGCTTAAAGGGTCCGTCCCATATAATTTACTGATCTGCCGGTCAGACTAATGGTTAGTTGGGTTGACCCACGTCAAAAATATATTTTAAAATGGTTTTGGTAAAAGATAATTTATAAATTAGTGCATTTTAAATTATTACGTGCATTTCTTTAATTTTATAGTTAATATTCATGTAATACACCAATATTATTTAGTTTTGGATCATTACGGATATATTTTTATTTTAGCTATGTTATTTTTTCAATAATAATTAAGAAAAATTGTAAATAATAACGTGAATTTTGCATTTAAAGACATAAAAATTTCATACAGTTGTAGGTTAGACTCCTAAAAATAAAAATAAAAAGTAAAAGTAAAATGGTACATAAAATTCATATCAATTAATTTTTTTAGTAATTATTTTATTTTATTTTTACAAATTAAAATTATAAAAAAAATAATATGACAAATAATATTTTGTTTTTAATGTATAGTGATGACTTGTAGTTATAAAATATGGGTTTAGCCATTCAACCAACGGACATTTTGCGTTATATTTTTTTCAGACGGTCATCAACATGCATTATTATCCTTATTCATCTAGTTTAATTTATGATGTAAAGCATTTAATAAGTTGTGGAATTTATTTATTTTTATTTTATAAATATTTTAATATTATTTTTACAAATATTTTTTAAATATTAAAACCACTAATTTAAATTTTATTTTAATAAAAAATGACGTGAACAAATAATAAAGAGTCCCGATAAAAATTCAAAAATGACTTTATAATTTCATAACCACAAAAATAATAATGTAATACAATTAATAATAAATGCACATATCGTTAATTAAAAATTAAAAAATTATTTATTATTTTTTTAAATAAAATTTGGAAACTATTTTAACAAAAGTAATTAAAAAAAATAAGTACCAAAAGATCAAAAACTATTTTACAAATAGCAAAAAAATGTAAATTCTAAATATTATGTTATATAGACGGTATAAGTTTAATTCGTGGTTTTAATTTTAAATATATAATTACGTAAAATATAAAAAAAATATATTGGCTCTAGCTGATCATATAATTTTCTACGTGCTTTTACTAATATTTTCATTAAAAAATTACTACTTTACGGATATTAATGAAAATATAACTTTTATATATATATATATATATATATATATATATGAGATTTATTTAATTCAATAATTATTTTATGATTGGATGAAAATTTAGTAAAATTATTTTATTTTAATAAATATTTAAAATATTTCATGATAACAAATATTTTTTAGATAAATAATTTAAATAATAAAAATTGATAAACATAATTTTTTATTACTTCAAATAATAATATTTAAAAAATTTCTATTTTTCCTTTTTCAAAATTTGTCTATTTTTTATATTTTTTTTGGTAAATCTTACTTGAAATATTTTTTATTTTTTTAACTCATTTTAATATTAGTCGATCAAACTCAATCTCATATAACATATAGTCTAAAGCGTATCGAGTGTGATTCATTTTAATCTAGTTCAAACCAATTTAACATATTTTAATCATATTCAACTCATTTAATTAAGTCGTTCTTGATTTAATTCATCTTGTATTGACATGACTCAACTCATATTAACTTGTCATAACCTAATTTAAGTCTTTTTAATTAGGTTAATTTCAACTACTCAAAGTAACTTTAACTCCACCCAATTTAAATTATCTCAACTTTATCCGTCTTAGTTCATCTCAATTAATCATAATTTGATATGTATTGACCTAATACGTATTATCTTATTATATAACACATTCTATCTCATATTGATTTATCTTATTTAATCATAATCTGACTTGACTCATATTTACCTAACTTGATTTTACATGGTCTATTTTATTATAGCCTAATCAAACTTTACAAACTTACTCATCTTAACTTTTTAATCTAACTCGATTGGACTTAATCTTTCTAATTTAGTACAATTTATTTTTTATTAAATTCAACCTTACTAAAATAATATATCACTTAACTTGATATAGTCTCTCGTAATTTGATTTTTGTCTAATATTACTGATTTAGATAAGGATACGTGAACTTGATCTAAATATAATAATGATAAATTTTATATTTTATAACAATAGAAATGTTTATCCAAATCATAAAATTAAAATTAAGTAAATATGATTTTTATCCAAGCAAATCATTTTAAAAAAATTATTTATTTAAATAAAAGTTTAAGATTTTCTGTTCGTATTATTAATATAATAATATGATATAATAAGTGTTTTTAATCATTAAATTACCATTGTAGTGTATTTATAGTCATTATTTTGTATTATTTCACCTAATTTTAAAATGAATAAGCATATAAATTTATAAATAAATAAATAAATCAAAACTTAATTATATTTTTAAATTTTATGTAAACGTCACTTACTTAAATTTAAAATAAATAAATTAAAAACAATTATAAATAACAAAAATTAAAACTTAATTATATTTTAAAATTTTAAGTAATTGGTTTATAAATTTTATAGAATAACTCGATGTATATATTTTAATACTCACTTAACCCACATACAACAAATTATTTAGATAGCAATTTTTTCAACTTTATGGAACTATTTAAATAGGTATTTGAATTTATCAGCGTGATACATCTAACTAGAGAGTTCAAACTCATACATGCTTTTTTACTCTCTTAACTAAAACTCTTTCATAAACACCATTTGATACTCCATGTACTTATCTCAATGTGAGTGTTACGATGGATTTATAGTTGCCAGTAACATTACTACAATTCGAATAAAAAAAAAGGTAAAAATAAGGGGAAATATGAAGATGATGAAATAATTAATGAGAATTGTGATGAAAACAATTTTGTTTCCGTACAAAATAAGTTTGTAAACCATGTGTTTATTGTTTGTATGGTAACAGTTGAGATATTGGAATGTTATATATATTATAATAAGTTGTAATTGTGATCTTTCTTTTACTATATATAAACTTGGTTCACCTATTTTTGGTGTTGTGACATTTTATTATATTATAGGAAAATCAACGTATGTTATTCTTTTGATCTATTATAACTAAAATAGTTGATAAAGCATCTATGTGTCCATATTTTTTATATAATTATTTTTTATTAATATATTATTTTAAATTTTAATGTATTTTTTTTATTCTTTAAATATATTCATTTTTTTTATTTTTTCATATTTTTACCATTTTTTAAATATATAAATTATAATAATTATTTTTTCTTTAAACTATAGCACTTTTATTTTTCTCTATCTGGTGAAACCAAAACACCAGTTACAAAAGAATTTTTCATATATATATACTATGATTATTAACTAATTTTAACTCGTTTTGTAAAATATATATCCTGTAGAAAATTCTCATACCAATCTTATTTTAAATTATAACTTTTTTTGGTATTTTATTTCTACTATTGAAATGATTAACCTATCTTATTTTAGTGTACTGTATAAGGCTAATAAGTATATTTATTGGGCTTTAATATATGCATCAATTAATAAATATATTTTTTTATATTATTGTTGTTTTTCAATTGAGCTTAGTATTGGAGGTTTTATTCCCAAATTTTATGTCTTTAAAGTGCTTTTTTCTATGGGTGTTCGATACCTAGAAAAGTTCGTGTAATATATTAGCTTAAACTCATTTAGATAATATACATGTATTTAGGTTAGCCGATAAATTAATTTATTTTATGAAATAATAATTATCTTTAAAAAAAATTAATATTATTTTATTTTTATTAATGTATTATAAAATCATTTGATAAGATATTTATTTATTTTAGGAATAAGTATATAATGAAAGTAACTCACATTAATTGTTTTCCTAATGAAAAATAAAAATGAAGGTTTTACTGTGCCACATTATTGTTAGATAACTTTGATGTAATTTTACTCTAAGTGGAAGAATAATAAGTAATTTTAAGTAATTCATTATTTGATAAATAACACATAATTATATTTTTACTTAAAAATAATATTAAATACATAATATTTAAATAAATTTACAATGA